TGAATTTAACGTCTCTTATAGCAACTGACTGACAGCAAGTTTGGGAAAATAAAAAAGCCGCCAGTGGGATTCGAACCCACTGACCAACGATTTGAAAATCGCGACCTTAACCATTTGACCATTTCATAGAAGTTGCTTTCCGCTGTTCGTCTTAAGGAGATAATAAAACCATTAACTCTACTGTGCAGAATGTTTCTGTTTATGCTTCCTGACTAAAACGCTACGATGGTGCGTCACGTAGCAAAATACACATACAAAGAAACAATGGTCGTTCTCCCTGACAGCTTCTCCTTTAGTAGTTTTGAATGTATGCTTTTATATGGGCAAGTCTGACTCCCTGGACCACGTCTGGACACTAGACTACCTACACGCATGAACTCTTTCATAAAATTGTGTTAATAACACGCCATTTTTTATCTTTTTTTTTGGGGGGGGCTGTTTATTTCGTTTTCTTTACTTATACAAAATGACAGCCGAAGGTTGAATCAGGACCCCAATAGTTCTGCTAAATAATATGTTATGTGATGTGATGGATCTGATCTGTGGTGTAGTCCTTCAGACACATTTCCCTGCCTTGTGAATGGTGCCTCTTACAGTAAATTCCTTCTCTGTAAAGATGTAGTTGAAAAGTGAGCACTTTTCCTGTCAGTTTATAATTCATTTTTAAAATGTGGACCTTGAAGTTGTCGTATTTTCAGTTGTGTGAAATGCTAATGTGAATACATCAGTGCGCTTCTTCCTATCAATACTATCTTGCATCGAGGGTTTCACCAGGGGTAGCATTACAGTTGTGCCCATGAATATGGAAGTTCTCGTAGCGCGAACATAAAAAAGGCAATAAAACACCCTTTGAAAATCCTGAAACAAAGTTGACAGTAAGATCAAGTTAGACAGAAAAGTGCTCTTTGACGGTTTACATTAAAAGAAATTGTTGTAGCTATCCTTTAAATAAGAAGTTGCAAATTCAGTTTGTCAAAATGCAACTTGGTGCAAGATAGGTTGCACTGAATATTCAAATTTTATAAATCACATGATCACGTCATCGTTCATGCCATTTCATGACAGTCTAGTCTGAGTACAAGCCAGTGTTGGAGCAAGGCTTTGACCCACAATCCTTTCGTCCAAGACTTAACCCTGAAGGTCAAAGCCCTGCAGTCTAAAGTTACTACTACGCCTATAAAACATGTCACATCATATCTTGACTTAAGTATCGTCGGACTGGCAGTTGTTCTCAATGCCGCCCTATTTGTTGTTTTATCACAGTGACACAAAATCGTCACTTGTCCCGATGCTATGTTACTGTTTGGTACTTTCGTGTCCGATCGAGCTTTGCGTCAGGCCGCTTGTTTGCACGTTGTGCTGTTGCATCGTGCCGTCGCAACGAAAGTTTGCGTCATGCCGGCGAGCCGTCGCGCCGTGCCACTGCAGCGTCGAGTCTTTGTCTAGCTGTTGCTCAGACTTTTGGAAAATAGACGCGCCCTTACAGACGTATCCTACAGACGTCGGCTTGTTCCCACAGACTGGTTAATAAGCCAGCAAGTCACTATTGAAACGTTTTATTACTTACAAGCCTGAATACAATACTACAAGGTATATCATAGAAATATGTCAAAACTCACCCATAGCTAACATCATTCATATCTTCATACTATCTTCATACATATGATCGTGGAATGGATTTTGGAATGTTCACATAGCAATTTTACCCCTAAATTTCACTGTTTTGTCAGAATTAGGAGAGAAAGAATTTTCTACTTAATGGAAGACTGTTTCACCTTGTTTGAAAATCTTCCATTTATGATTTGTTCATGTGCTGTTTACATTACGACCCTGGGGACAATATGGGGAACTTGTCAACCTCAACATGTTCCTTATTTTAAAGAGCACCTCTAAAGAAAAAACAGGTTTTTTTCTGATTTTATCTGTTCATATAAATATGGAAGCATTCAAATCGAATGCAGTGTCATTTGTCTTCAGAGCTGTACTATAACAAGCTAAAGAGGGCTTTGCCTGTCTTGAACACCTGTGAAACTTGTATTTTTCATGATTTTCTTAATTGGGGATATTTATCACTGTTGTTTGTAGCAACTGATTCACTGGTCTAGTGCCCAATAGGTTGCAGGCCAGTAAAATAAACTGCCCCAGCCAACAGTGATAAATACCCGAAATTCAAACAAATCAGGAAAAATACTCACCAGTTTCTCAGGCGTTTGAGACGCACGTCAAATCAAAGCCCACTTTCTGATTTTTCATTTTCTTGTCAAATTTCCATTCATTAACCGATGACTTCTTAAGATATTTATTTCCGCGGAAGGTCACCCCTAAAAACGCAGTCTTGGAGCCCCTGGCCATTTTGAAATATCGATGCCAACACTGCTTGAAAAATAGATTCTTCCCAATCTCACTCTGACGAAAGCTGGTATTCTCTTTGCTCGCCCACACCTGTCTTTTCTACAAATCTTCAAGTTCATGGGCCACAAAATGCCCTATTTTGTAGAAAATTTGAGTGCATACCAAATGATTGCTATTTGGCCCGTGTGAGCAGTTTTCGGCCTGTTTATATTGGCCTGCATCATTTAGTAGCCCTCCCCCCGAAAACGTGAACAATTGGAAAAGGTTGTCTCTCATCCAGGTTATGGGCCTATGACCTCGAGTGGGGCTGATAGTGCATAGCTGTGTAGTTTTGCCGTTAGGCTAACGTCTGTGAATTTCCATCTTCTTCAACTGCCGGAAATAATCACTTGTGACTAGCGACTGCAAACTATAGGGTTCATTTCTGTTGATTATGGTTAGGTTTGGCTAACTATAGGTTCGAAACTCGCACACAGGGTTTGCTCTTGAAGGGGGAGGGGACGCAGTACAGTACTCATGTTTTGAAATTCGGACTCTATGCTGGACCAAAAAGAAATTTGACTTTCAAAATTTGGCCAAGCAGCCCATCACTCTCCTGTCTTGTAATACCACATTACACCCACTAGTCAAAATAATTGAATTGGCCAACAGTTTTCAGGCAAGCCAGTGGTGGTTTCCCCTTCCATCAGGCTTGAACATGGGAATGAAATTTGCTCAAGTTACTACATCAAAATGATTTGTTGATGGCCGTGAACAGGAAATACGTTACACTTCTGATGTTATTAGATTTGAGTGCAGCTTTCCACGCATTAGATCATGATGTTCTTTTGAGTTTACCCCAGTCACGTTTTGGAATTATTGGCACTGCCCTCATCTTGTTTAACTCATATTTGAGTGGTAGATCTCAAAGGGATTTGGTCAATGGTAAACTATCTAGTAAACGTAATCTTGAATGGGGGTGTTCCTCAAGGGTCATGTTTAGGTCCTTTATTGTTTATCTTGTACACTAGTCAGTTGTTTGACATCGTCAATGCTCATCACCCAAGAATCCATTGCTAAGCTGATGATACTCAGTTGTATTTATCATTTTGTCCAGATGAAACTGATAGTCAGGAATTTGCCCTGTCAGCTATGGAGGCTTGCATACACGATGTCAGACAATGAATGTTTAATAATGGATTATTTTTGAATGGCAATAAAACGGAATTTATCATTATTGGCACTCGTCAACAAATATCCTAGGTAACTTTGGATGGTATTCATGTTGGGGAATCTGTCATTTCACCCTTGGCTACAGCTCGTAACTGTAATAGTTTGCTTTTTTTGCCACGTCAAAAGTTGCAAATATATTTTCTTTTATTAGGTTACATTTGATGTGTTTCTAATTAAAGTCTTCAAATATTTTAATCACCTTATGCAGTTTAACCCAACACATTGTGTTGAACTGCGATCGTATGATAGATAAAAAAATCCTTGGAACTCCTCCTAACAACGCTTTTATAACGTGCAAACACTCATAGGCTTAATGTAATCCAATAACCACATTTTACATCGTGTTTCAGGTTTAATGCTTTCTGGCTAGCGTCCCCTGAACAAAAATATTGACAAATGGGAAGGGCTAACAACATAGGGCTGGATAGCTCAGTTGGTAAAGCACCTGTACGGTATTCTGGAGGTCGCAGGTTCAAATCTGGCTCCAGTCAAGTTCTTTGTTCATCTTTATGTAATGACAGGCTATCTATTAAGGGAAGTCCGCTTAAATTATTAGTTTAAGGACGCCAAGGCAAAGGAAGACAAGCAAATACAGTCCAAATACAACTGTCTCAATTTCACAGAGTTTTATTTCACATTAACCTTTGGAGGTTCAAATGTCTAGGTTTGATTACAATTAGGCCCAACTACTATTCCAATTTCGTTATTCCTATTTTCCAGTATTATTCCTACATTGCTATACTCTTAAAATTTCCCCAGTTCCTTTATTTCTTTATTTGCAATTCCATTTTCCCTGAATGCCAGGCCGGTGTGCGGCTGCGGACTTGGCCTTCCAGACAGCACCTGACAATGAACAGTGTGTGGAGTAAAAATTGAAACTCTAGTGTAAAGCATGCGAGTTGCCAAACAAACAGCTTGAGTACAATATCACATGTACGCTTCACGTGAAACTTTACAATCAAAATGGTTAATAAACACTCCAACATCACTCATTCTTCGATTTTCTCTGACCCTATTGTTCATCAAGTCGGGCTAGACGCTAGGAATTATGAGCCAGAGAAGGTTAAGAGAGAACAAATTACCCCTTACGACATGAAACCTTAGTTTTCGTGGCGAAAGTTTTCACCCAGGATATACTCACTCGGTGGTGCCCACATTGGAAAAAAATAGCTCACTCGCGCCCACCGTTCCGCACCATCTTCGTAGGTACATGTATTTGTCATACATTTCTACTGAGCTGGGCGGTCTGCCGAATAGACTACGGTGACCCCTAAAAGACGCTTCCCTATAATCATTTGTAAGCACCTAGTCAGTTTCCTTATATAATTTGTTTCAACTGAAAGCAAGCGAGAAACACTCAACTATTTTGGTTTTACGTTCTCCCACTCTAAGCTGATGCTGCCATGAGACAACTTTCATGACTGATGATTCCCGTAGCTCTAGTTCCTTGGAATGACACTCAGCATCACACTCTCAGGAGAAATCAATCCAAATTTCTTAAGAGTTGGCGGGATCTAGAAAAGAAATTCCCAAATTGATTTCACGACACCTTCAAAGAATTTTTCGTTCATCAATAAGCATGGAATGACAGTATAGGTACTTAGCCATTGTCAGTATGCATACACCCGCAACCAGAGCGGGTAAGCGACATGTCTCGTCAAGCTTGCTTTTGTGGATTACTCTGCCATCTATGCGTAAACACCTGATTAAATAACTTTGTTGATTTATGTCACTGGCTTATTCATTCTATCAACTGGTGAGCGAAAGATAGTCTGCGGCCAATAGAACAAGAAGTACAGCAGAATATTGGATGTGACACTGATTTTCAGGGCCCAATATCACGGCGCTACTTAGCACACGATTTAACGCTTTTATAAAGAGGCACCGCGTATTTCACGGAGACTGTAAGCACAGCCAAAGGCATGCTAACCTTGAAGTTAAATATATGCTTAAACTTAGTGACGTCCATTATTCGCCAGCCATTTTGTGCCCAAACAACGCGCAATATCCTATCCGGTCTTTATGATGGAGATCAATGGTCACACCCAGCACCCCAATGAAATAGTGCTGGGGTTATAGCCAATTTTTCTGCTTAAGTTAGCACAACTTTTAAGCTAACTTTTAAGCAGCTCCGTGACATTGAGCCCAGTTGGGTTGGACAACAGTTTAACTGTGCTCACCTGAGTTTTCTGGCAAACATCAAAGCGAAATTGCTGCAAAACTCGAACTAGTGCTATTTTGGCCTCCAGTAAGGCAAACCGCATCGCGATGCAATTACGGGGTCCAAGGCCAAACGGCATGTATGTATAAGGCTTGATGTTGGCTTTGTTATCAGCATTGAACCTGCATTTCGAAAACAAAACTTGTGAGGAAGGTTTCATTTTAATCATGATGTGTGTACCATCTTCACTTTTCAAAAGACCAAGAATTCCAACTCCTAGGGGGATTTGTCAAATCTGTCTCTTTTTATCAAAATTCTAGCTTTGATGAAATCAGCTCCAAACTTTAATTTCTTCAAAGTTCAAACTTTTTACCGCTCAGGATCAAATTGGGTGGGATTCGGCCAGTAGTCTTCGCTGTGATGAATAGACCAGGTGCTGATGAACAGAACCAGTCCCTTTTCAATGGTCAAACCGTTGTATCGTGTTGTTTCATTGCAGACGCGTTCGAGACTGAGAACAAAAGTTGAACCATTATTGTGAGAGCAACATTCTGAGCATTTTAAAACAAATTCATTCATGAAAGACACTAAATTTTTTCCTTTTAAGGACGATAGAGAGAACATGGGTTGTCAGGCATTAAATAAACATATTCAAATTCTGAATGGAGCCAAGTTGTAGGTAAAACAAATATAAAAATCTCATCAGTCGTATAAATCTTTCTTTTGACAAAGTGCTTCCATCTAAAGTGTTTGTGCCATGTTTATACTTTGCATTAACTTTTGGTAGGCCAATATAGGGTCTGTGTTTTTGTCGTCACAGTCACAGGTTTCCTACAAGTAGCTGCCACAACTGTGGTTGGCCGTCAGTAAAAAAAGGGAAGGAAAAGCAAGATACCGCATCAAAACTTCCAGCAGCTTTGGCGTACAAATCAGATTCAGTCCCTTCGATGACATAACAGTTTTGCACACGAAAATGAACATTCACATTAGTACGAAAACTGAGAAGGTTGCACGATACAGATTCGAAAAAGCAAAATAAAAGCTGAAAAATTAATGGTTCACTGAAACATTAGAGAACAATTTCCAGGGTTCTAGTAAAATAATTGGTACTGCATTGTCATTTTCAAGTTATGATGAAAATACTTGTCTCTGAATTGATATTTCACAACATAAGGTACAAACCAAAAACCGGCGCAGGCATTATGTAAATTGTATGCCAGTGACATGTCATATGGATTACTACTAGAACGCGCCCATACTTTCGAGTGCTGTTTTCAATGTTCCATTGTGCTCAAATTATTGGTAGATGATAATGGTAAGAACATGTAAATAAATTAATTAAACTGCACGATGACCATCCTGACTGACCCTCTGTGACTCTGTCTGTTGTGCTTGCTTAAAGTGGGAAGAACGTGAAATAGAATCACAAAAGGGGGCTTTAATTTCAAAACCAGAAGAATTAACTTGTGGCCGCTTACAGGACAACTGGTGGAAACAGGCGGAGAGACTCGCTTATCACCATGTCCAAGTACACCATATTGTGGATGACGCCGTAGGTAACGTCGTTTCTTGTTGGAGTGAGGCTATCGATCTCGGCGTACAGCTTCTCTTGGACGTCTTGGTTCATAGCGAGTAGGTATGCAGTCAAACTTAGCACGGTATTGGTTGTCTCGTATCCGGCCGAGAAAAATGTCAATGCCTGGTAACAAAAAAGAATTGTAATTAGCATGTGGCACAAAGCAGAAAGCGCCGAAAGATAATTGTGTTTGGAATGCTTGGCAACATCCAATACATCGAAACTTATTTCAATTTCACTGTCTAGCAATCCCCATTTTACACAACCATGAGTTCATGATAGACTCGTCATAAACACTACTCAAAGGCAATTTGCCCTCAAAATCACAGTGGCAACAAAAGTCAATGGTCCGTCGAAATGAAAACTTGACACACGAATTTTCAGTGATTTGAACGTGCACATAGCCGTGAGTGTTACATAAGAGGGTTTCATCCTTCTGGGTAAGCTACTGCTGAGGTTGATGCTGAAGTGCACATAGCCGTGAGTGTTACATAAGAGGGTTTCATCCTTCTGGGTAAGCTACTGCTGAGACTGATGCTGAAGTGCACATAGCCGTGAGTGTTACATAAGAGGGTTTCATCCTTCTGGGTAAGCTACTGCTGTGGTTGATGCTGAAGTGCACATAGCCGTGAGTGTTACATAAGAGGGTTTCATCCTTCTGGGTAAGCTACTGCTGAGATTGATGCTGAAGTACACATAGCCGTGAGTGTTACATAAGAGGGTTTCATCCTTCTGGGTAAGCTATTGCTGAGATTGATGCTAAAGTGTGTGAGAAGAGATATGGAGGCCACGTAGAGGACTAAGATGCGCATGTGTGACATGAAACCCTCATGAACTTGCATTCCTGTATGGTGAAAGATCCATTGCTATGAACAATTGCCTTTTTGCGCCATGCTGTTGTCATTATTGTAATGAGGATAAATCTGGGTTAATATTTTGAGGAGGGCAAAGGGTCAACAACATTTCTCTGGGAATTTGAAAGAAACAAAGCACAGGCCCCAAATTTACAACCACTTTCTGTAATTGTAAATCAATGCTGCAGTGCTCACTCATGCAGAACGGCTGATCATTGATGTGATGGCAAACAAAGCAAAAAACCTTGGTCTATCAATATATGATAAAAAATTTCTGGAAACTAATAAAACTTCTATTTTGTAGACAATTTTCTAAATGTTTACTTTTTAAATACCCTGTATAGAATGACGCTTAAGATGGGATACTCGATAAAAGGAGACAAGGGCCAGTAAAGAAGACGAGACATGTTAAGGGCCTTAAGAAAATAAATAAATATCTTGATTTAAAAAATGTAAAACATATTACTACGTCTAAAGATGGTAAGTGGGTTGTCTGACATTAAGGTACTGAAGTGGAAAAATTGTAGGTAATCTGGCGTTGTGATCGTGAGAACTAAAGTGCCATAGGAATTGATGTCTGATGAAACGTTAATGATAGGTATTGATAAATGTGTTGAGTCTGTATTTTCTTTATATTGTAGAGATTGAGGAAGATCACTCTCTCGATACATTTTTACTCCAAGCTGAGACCTGATTCAAGAACATTTGGAATACCACTGAGCTGACTCTAAGACGAAATCTATAAGGTCGATCTAAGTATATCGCAAGCATGCACGAAATAGTCGAAAGAAAGAGTCTAAACACCTGTAATACAGCCGACTATTATAAGATATACAAAAACAAAATCTGTGATCTTGTCTGTAGGCAGTCCTTTGCTGTGGTCCAGCAAAAATGAAACGTACATAACACATACATGCCATCCATGGCGTCCCTGTGTGGACAGCAGCGATTCTTTTATAAGACCAACGAGGTCCAGGACGTACCTGAGCCAGGACATCAGTGGTGGACAGCGGCTTACGCCGGACGACGACATTTTCTCGACCGTTGAGTCTGGACGCCGACTCTCCCTGGTCATACTCGGGATCATTGTGGGCATTAAGGAGCAGTTGAAGCACATCGATGTTCTAAAAAATAAAAAGAATAATGGTGGCAAAGAAATACGGACTGTCTTATGGGCCTAGTCTGCGTTCAAGCGTGTTATACCAAAATGAACATACCAAAATGTCATCGACAACGACAAAATCGAAATCAAAACGAGCGATAAATCACAAATGGATAACAACAATAACCATAACATTGAAGACGACCGTATTGACGTTATATAACATGGGCCAGCCATAGTGCATATGGCATAGTGTAATTTACTACGGCAGTTCTTCCTTTATGTCTCATTAAAACTGATAGACAACTTTTCCAGTGACAGTTTAAGGGGGTTTCGGTGCCTTTTTACTTAAAAACGTATGACGTATGATAATGCACATTTTCACATTAATTAGTAATGGCGTGATGCCATCCAAGACAGAAATCACAGAGTCTATACAGCCAGTAAAATAAGGACGAAAAAGAAGAATTAACAGAGATTGTCATAAATTTTATGGATTTTGAAAAGAATGTTCTCGAAAAAAAAGAGTTTGGGAGGGTCCCATCTCACCTTAGACTCACGCTCTCCACGCCTCCGCAAATTGACAACTTCCTTCGTGACATCCACGAAAAAATCCACGGCTGACTGATCAATTAAGCTATATTTCGTCAGTTTCGTGAGGGGTGTGGCCAAAACTGGAAATATTACTGCAAACAAAAAGAAAATTAATGCTGAGAGTTTTTAATCCAAAATGTGCACACAGCAAGGTCAACCTGATTCGCAGTGTATGTTTTCTCATGTATTACGTGTACAGTTATACATGAATATACACGAACAGGTAAATGCACATTATGCCAGTGGAAAATACATCAATGACGTATTTGGCGAACACGAAGCAGTAAAAATGAAATACGTCATCGGAACCCGCACCCAGGGTCAACAAGATATTTCAATGACAAAAAAATGACAAATATTGACACGGCCGGATTATGACAGTTTCCCCCAAATTATGTGCTCTGTGTGGAACACTCTGCCTTATTGACAAGAAGGCCAGTTCACCTTATGGCAGGCGCTCAAACTTTTTGCAGACTTCCAGATATTTTGGAGGCTCGAGGTTGGGAGCCTGCTGTGTCTACTGCGCAATCGGCTGCGCCTTTGTGTCGTATTCACCCCCCTTGGCTATTTACCCAACAGAAGTGAAACAAGAGATTCCACTTTGAAGTCAAACATTTTGCTGCCATTCCTCACGAAAGGATCGTCTTTGTCGTAAGAGTCTGCACGAAGACCAAAACCACATCTTGCAATGACATCCATGGTGTAGCCCCCAAACACACTGCAAGAAAATGTTTCGGACAAGAGGTTTCCATGGAAATTGTGTATATTCTTTCCCTTATTACAGAGGGCATACCTTTCAGTTCAATCTAGACATTTATGCACAAGTAACAATTTTTCAAATCTGCCATAAGGAATGTCTCAATAATGCTTATATAGTGCATCATGAATGCAAAGCCACCACCCCCAAGATACTAAAATTCAAAAATAAAGATCGCACTTACTGCCGGCATTCAACAGGAATTCCGCCTTCCCTTGCTTTGTCCAAATAGGACACCAGCCTATCACAACACTCATTCATCACAAACGACATCTAAAAACGAAAACAAGACAATCACATCATCGATGTGTGTTAACGCTGGCAGTCCAGCTGAATGTCCTCCAGCTAATCTTAAGTAAATTGCATGGCAGCTTTCGCAAGAAAAAAGGAACCCATAAAATTGATCAGTCCAATTCTCATGTCACTCCAATAGGCCAATTTTGTTTGACAATGTTCATTATTAACTTGTTCTGATTCAGAAAAATGCTAAGTATAGGCCTTCTACTTGTGTGTACAAAACTTTTTCCGTGTACCATCCTGCGGTGTTTTTTTTCGTTTCGTTTCTCGACATTAACGAAGAAGCAGTTCCTAAGAGAGAGACACAAACTTAAGTTTGTGGATAATCAGTAGCTCTTCAGTTTCTGACTATAAACCAGGTTTCACAAGACTAGAGAACGGCTATATATCACCGAGACTGCAATTCTACTGCAGAGAGGAAAAATTCTCTGATGATAGCTTAAACACTGACGTTTTGACTGGGTGGTGTTTGATTCAGACTTGTGAGGATCTGGCTAAACACCTCCAACGTCTGCTTACAGCTGGGCACCTTTGGGTCTTGACGACCAATGTTTCGCCAACAGTCGCCTATTGAAAAAAACAAAAAACAAAACAAAACAAATGTATAACCTTGCGGAGGGTATGCCAAAAATAAATAAAATGTACCTGTTTCATCTTCGCTGCACTGAAGGTTGGGGTAAGGATGTTGCGTACTTCTTTCCATTCATCGTTTTGCAGCAAATTCAGTCCCCTCTTCATGGGCGCTGGAAGGAGAGGCATTACCTGCTCAGAAATAGAGTAAAGTAACAACGTACGGCGAGCATCCAACGTACTAATATTGGCTGGTTGGGTAAACACGTGCTTATACGTTCAGAAGAGCAGAAAACCAAGGCTTCTCATTGGTCGAAGGTTCGATTTCTTGCATAGCCGTATGATTTTTTGTGTGCATTCTTACAGGGTTTCCCTCTCAAACTAATAAACCTTTCAATGCCTTTTCCTTTGAAGATCTTCAGCTGTTTCGCTCAATGATGACAATATATTTTCAGGTGGTTTTTTTCATCATCCCCTCATCATTATAGCATACCTTTATAAGGCAACATTCGATTATGTGTGACAACAGGTTAAAGCGCAATAAAGGTAAATAGAGGAGCATGTGGACAGACCTACTCCCAATATTCTACTGATTCTATAAACCAACACCAGGAGTCTGTTGTTGCTTTCAACTTTTGTTTTACTATTTAAAAGGGTATTTTGCTGCCTTTTGTGTTTTTTATGCTTATGAGAATTCCCTATTCTTTAGCAAACTGTGATATCATACATCACAGTTACAGAAAAAAATTGTTTGGACACAGTAAGTCATGCATATTTTGCCAATTTCGCTGATTACTATATAATTATTCTCTTCTCTGATTCATCGTTTATGTTGCATTTTTGAAACATTGGTGTATTTTTGGCAATTAAGTTAAATTCTCGGATAAATTCTTCAGAATTGCAAACTTCCTGTCACAAGAATCCAATGGTGTAACTGGCGGGGCGAGGGTGGGGCCACACCACTGTATCAAATGTCAACCCCCACTGGAACTTAAAACTACTCATGAAAAGAATGCCAGCAACAACTAGAATAAAACACATTTAAGGGCCTCCAGTGAGGCATTCTCCCGCAGGCATGGTGCCAACTCTAGCTATAGAATCCGTTATTTCTCGTCACTCGCTCAGTTAATATTTCCTTGAAACCAACCAGGATTTGAATTGACATTAATGACCACAATCATTGAACGCTGTCATAGCAGACGATCGGAAACAGGGAGGAGTTCCAATATGAAATCATGTGTACAGCTAGTGTCTCACCCGCCGGTTGCAGAAACTGTTAAAATTCTTGATAAGTACGTTCTTGATGATGTCAGGATCACTGACAATTAGAACAGGGCGCCGGATTTCATACATCCTACGAAAATCAAAATAGAGATCTTAAGAACTTTCAGGGTGTTTTTCAGGAACTGGAACTTTTCATTGTAGTAGAATCACCACAGTAATAGATAGGCCTAATTTACTATTTTCATAATCTGCATGTCCGGGACTGGATAACAAACAAGCAGTGCATTTTACGCATCATTCCGTGGGAAAAGTGCAACTACAAAACACCAGTTTCCATCTCATTAATAAAAATCAAGTCATCTTCTCCTCACACAGTATAGGAATGAAAATCTGGAATAAGATTATTCATAATCAAAATTGTACAGCTAGCAAAAAGGTCTTTCAAACGATCTCTTTTTTAATTTCAAATTAAAATTGATTCTTGCATTCGGGTGAATCAGTGATATGATGGGCATGTACTTGAGACATATTCTGAAGTGTGATATTAAGTGACGTTGGACTGGTTCACATCCCCAACAATTTCATGCTTTAGACGCAGGTTTTTTTTTACCCGATCCTGCGATGCACTGAAAGTGTCAAAACCATTTCTATCCATTTAATACCAAGGGATGCCACATGGCATGTGTTCACAATACAGCCTGGTATTTTTCATTCTTGACAAAAGGACGCATACAGGGTTTAAAAAGGACACCTGTGGGGCCTCGTTGTCTTGAAGGGGCTCCATTCGGTGGAGATGTAATTCAAATAATCAGACAGATCCGTCAGGTGTTTGCCAATACGCTCCAGCTGAGGTGGGACGGGGCCTAGACTGGTTGTCCCTTAGAATTCCCACATCTTACATCAAATACGCCATTGTGCAGCAGTATTCAAAACTCTAATGGATCTCATTCACAGGGAAACCATTTTAATTGCGTTCTTGGAATCTATCTTATTCAATGTAATGTGTTAGACGGGTTGGTGCCAGACAATTTTTGGATTCAATGCCTCACTCTCAATTTTTAAAATGTGGCTTAAAAGAATTAACCACAACTTTTACAATCTTTATTAGCATGAATGACAATGCAATTTCATTTCAGTGCTTTCCTTTCTATTCTCAGGTGTCAAAATAAAAAAGTTATCTCACTTTCAATAAAATATGGCTGACTTTTGAAAAAGGTCAATTCTATTTACCACAAGGAAATAAGTAAAGGATCACGATAATGAAATTTGTGCAATACTGGCAGGTGTTAGGGGAACGTTAACACTTCAGCACTATCAATTAAAACAAAAAGTATTGGTGTGACCATGTTGCCTTACCCCACATATTTTCCTTTGTCTTTGAGGAAACGTTCACACGCACTGTGAAATCCCTGAAGAAAATTGAAAAATACAATGTTTACAAAAGAACTGGATTTGACAAAAGTTCTTCTCAACTTAATCAGTTCATTACAGAAACCGGCACGGCCCTCTGTATGCAAAACCAATTATATTGCGAGCTATCAAAAATATGTCGATTAAAAGTTACATTCCACCAAGAAGTTTTGCTTTTATGTAAGATGAAAATTTCCTAGAAAGATCAGCTGTGATCAGCAATTACAAAACAGGTCAGTAAAATCTTAAAGGGCGTCTTAATTGAGCGGTGCTTATGACGTACTAGTTTACCACACGTGGCTGAGCTTCCCAGAAGTGGGATGTATTCAGCCACAGGAATGCCTCGCCTCTGAAAATATTGATGGCACCACCAGTCATATCTGCAAAGGACAAATTTAGACGTTTTATGCTCGTGTTAATTGAATGGTCCTCTGACCTGCTGTTGCTCTCCAGTCTTTTCTACAATCATCTGGGTAAAATTGTTCGTATGAAAGTAGGACTAGATGTAGAAATCATGACTGGATGAAAGCAACCTAAAACGGAAGTGACCAAGAAAACCAACCAACCAAAAGGCATCAAACTTTACCCTCAAGCTCGAAATGTAAAGCAAATTCATCATCATTTGATACGTTAATTCAATCACCTGATTGTTTTACGCATGCCTGCAAAGACAGTCCCCACGTATGAAAACCCAGCCGCAGAAATTTACAACGGCACACAGTGGCGTATCTATAAAAATTTCTCATTGGCACCGAGGGAATGCACTAACTTTTTCAGGGCCGGCGAAAGCTGATAGACTGCAGCTCGTACATTAATTGGTTGTGTACACATTTGAAGTTTCAAATGGGGGAGAGTGGGGCACGAAGGACATACGGTGGGAAACGCCCCCCCCCCCAGGTCTGTGCTCCACCCCACTCGCAGTTACACCACTCTCAGTACCTTCGAGGGTTTGCAGCTTTACCGCTCCGTGTTTATAGCGAATTATGGTTCTCAAGTTCACTGTCAGTGTTGTTCAGACTTAATCCAAGGTAGGATCCAAAATGGCGGAGAGACTCTAGAAATTTTTTTTCTCGATTTTTGCAAATATGAAGGTTTGCAAAAGTTGGCGACAACACACCTATCGAAACACTTTCATCCATTGCAGTATAAAGTTTACACTGCTGACACTTAGACAACTTAGAGAGAAGTGTCGGTGGATATAGTGTATAACAATGGAACACCGACGTTTAGGAATTAGAGGCTTAGTGTTTTGACGCCTAAACATGTTTGCCAACCGAGGGTGCAATCCTGTTTTAGCGCTGATGAACACTGCTTCACCTGGGAACCAGTAAAGTATGTTGATGAATTGTAGGTGACGTAATCAACCATCCGGCAATCATTTAAAAATGATTGTCGGATAGTTGATTGCCGTCAAATACCTCTTTGTAGCAGATTTTAACTTGTTTTAACTTGCTACAAAGAGGTATTAGTAGCGTACGTACTCAAAAGCCATTAAAGTGCCCATCAATGATTAGCTTTCTCAGGATTACATTCCACACTTAACTTAATTGTTATTAACCCTATTACTGTAACACTTAACTCTGTAGCCTTAGTGAATTTTCCAAATATGAACACAATTTTACACAAATCCAGTGGAATACCCTCAAATTCACTACTCGCTGTAAATCAGCCCCTACAATAGTCCAAAGGCAATACAGCAGGGACTGGCAACCAGTCTATTAATTGTGTGAATCGCCACTGCAAGATGAATTAGAGTTGTTGACAGGTCGTTATATGGTCGTCTTTTGTCAGTAAACTTAAGTCAAAATCCACAATCTCTGGTCTCTAGTATAGGACAATTAAGTTTCGAATTTAATATGGTCAATCATCCGCAACCTGTATACGGTATATCGTCTGGCTGTGTGGATCTCACCGAACAAAATCAAATTAATTACCAGTATCAACTTTGCATCAAGTCTAGTTATGAACGAGCATTGAGGGAAGATCCAGGAAGCTCCCGTGTCGAAATATTGAAGGCCATGGAGGAATGTTTACACCTATTAACGTTACCTGGTTGGTCTTGAAACACGGAAGAGGGAATACCGTACGACTCTGCGCCTATTGCAGGGCTGCTTCCATAATCACAGACTTTTGTTATTCCACCAAAGCAGCAGCAAATAGGCCTATAATTTGAACCATGGATGAAGGAAAATGGCCACAGCTCCACGGTGGAAAAATAAAGCGATACTGCAGTGTGACAACATAGGCCTGCTCAAATTGCACTCATTGTTGGGTTAGTCGATTGTTTATTGCAGTTAGTTCTTACCCCAGAGACACGAACAACATTCCAACCATCGTAACCAGTGTCAGCATGGCTGGAGACAGGTCAAATCCTAAAACCTCCATTGTTCATCACATAAACGGCTTAGTCAACTTTCAGATGAGAGCTTTTCCCCTCTCATCGCTCCACTGGTTCTGAATGTCTAACTAATGCCAAATGGCCAGACTTAAGGTGGAGATTAGTTGTGCAGTGTGTGTATCATGGTGTGTATGGAGGCTGGGCCTAGTCGACTGGCAGATTGTGACACCTCCATGTTGGTGGATGTTATTGAGTAGCAATCATGTAATATGTCCAAAAAAGGCAAGTAAAGTACACCAATGTTTGTTGAATTCCCGAGATTAATGCATGGTGGCGCCGAAGGGGAGTCAATATTAGCGCAAATGCCTATAAGCAAACGACATCATAAAATACCGCTGCTTGTCCCTAGGGCGAGAGTCACTATAGACTTTTTTTCTGCAATGTCACAATCATGCTGGACCGGGATGTGTTGTGATAGTAATGGTTCCAGACTAACTACTCAAGCATGCAGCGTTCGCACGTGCGCTTGCACGTGCTTGAAGCTGCCTGCAGGAACATTCTTCTGCGGACGTTATTGTCTGGCACGCTGTTCATGTTGCAGCGCCGCTGTAAACCGCCGCGGCGTTGGTGTGTGACGTAGAATTTTGGGCGAGTCAGTTTGCCTGTCAACCCGGGCCGTCCCAGACATTGTGCAATGGACAACAACAAAAAAAGATTTGAAAAAACTTTGACAATTTCGTACAAAACATATGAATTCAAAGCTTCATTTGGAAAAGTATTGACTCAATTGTAAAAGTGACATTGAAATGAGGTTCGTGGAACAATTACTCATGTACGGCCGATTTCGGGCAGTTGTCTTGTTCGGTGTGTCCCGAACATAACATTATTCCCTGTACTTCAATGGAGAAATAAGAAGTAAAACACAAGATACAAAAAGTACAAGATTAAATTGTGGATTTAAAAACACGTGACCCAATCTGAGCACAAACTTGACCACCAACAAATTTTGCTAGGATTGAAGGGTTAAGTCGCCAGTCTCGAGTTCACAAGGGTCGAGTTTATAAGGGGCGAGTTTATAAGGAGCTTCATAAGGGGCAAGTTGACCTGATACTCGGTTCACGGCGATGCGAATTGCAAGATCTGTGGGGATGGGGTTAGAGTCAATTCGTCTAACCATGGAGATTTAATAAAAAATCTTTCACTGAATCATCTTCCATGCCAAAGAAGAGGTTGGTTGTCTTCTACGAGACGGAGATGTAAATACATGTACTGTGCAAATCATTGTCAACATACAAATATTCAGCAATAGGAACTTTGCCGTAGGCCCATCATTGGGATTCTGCGACTCGCGCATGTCAGATTTTACGTTAGATATGTAGTCATAATTACCAGTGCTGTACGTATTTGGGCATGCACTGCTTTGTAATAAGATTTCCTTTTATTTATTTGCCGTTTTATGGTGTAGGACCCTCTCATTTTCTCATATACCTCGGGCGATACCCCTGATGGGATGGCGTTAAAAGTAAAGTTTCTCGGTCGTTCGGTGGAAGGCTAGGGTTTTACATCCTTTCAGTTTATACGATATTTATGTGGTTTGTTTATCACAACATCTTATCAGTGTGAAAGCTTCCCTAACGGTGTGTCCTTTTCGGTCCCCTTTTTTTAAAATAGAGACCCAATTGTAGGATTATTAAGCGGTCGTCCCAGACCTTTATCATGATTCCGTCACGCTTGTCTTGTTCTTGTACACCCATTGGAAATACATGTAGCAGTACAACCTCACATAATTTATATAGGCCTACGGCTAGGGATATGGATGGACCCCCTCAGAAATCTCTAGGTGTGCAGTGCTTGGGACATTTGTGAAACTTCAGCTCGGAACTGTCCAAGGTAAATAGGCCCCTATGACAAAACAAGAGTCGAGTGAATGTCGATAAGAACTGGCAATGACAATTAGGGGGGTGGTAGACATGTGATCACGTGACTGTGGCGGAAGTTGCTATGTATTTTGAACGTTTCAGTTCAAAACCTTTCCTGGGTTAAACGTCCCGTACTTTATTTATTATTCCGTACACCACAGTCGGGTCCACTGTGCTATTTATACACTTGATTATGTATGCATGATCACAAATACTTTGAGAGCAAAGTCCCAACCATCAATACTATTAACATAGTTGAACTCCTTGGATCAGCGAGCACGAAACGAAAAGACATTTTATATTCCAAAGGTTTGGGTAAACAGGGTTGTAGAAGAAATACAATGCAAAAGAGGCATGTTGGTTGCACCTCACGTGACCATTGGAAGGTCAAAGTTAATATTAACTGTGTGTACGTGCGACAGACGTGGCCGAAACATAATGCATACTGCCTTGTTTGCAAAAGACAATGGAACATGCACGTCTGCTTCTTGCTTCAGCGTACAAATTCTCATCGGATTAAAATGAAAAGATGAATGACATTTCAGTACCAACTGGATTCCTCCTCCAGCCAGAGGCCGTCATCGACTACGGTTTGTGTCAGGTCAAACAAGGAAATGACGAGTTCCTGGGGATGAGCAACGTACCCAACCAGCTTAAGGGTTTGAACAACTAATGGGCATATCCCTGTTGGGTTGCGATTTACGGAGGTAAACGGTTATTATTATTATTATTATTATTATTGTTGTATTTCTGACAATGTCAAGTGTTGTGGTAGAGACCGTACCGCCAATCTTAAACCACTTTCCGGATAAAATAAACAGAACGAGTAAATGATAAAACTAATGATATATAAATATATATACAAAACAGATTACTAACAGAACAAATCAGAAAAGGAGATAAAATTAACAAAAGAAAGAAATGAAACAAAAGTTATGATAAAATGCGTTAAATTCAAAAGTTACAACGAAAAACGAATACAGGAAACCAACTAGTAAAAACGAAGAAAAGTAGTTCAGATATGCCACATTCGACGATAAACTGCAGAAAGATGAAAAGAGTGCATTATAAAAAGGAAAAATATCAAACAACTATGGTAGAAGGCAAGATAAAAATAAATCAATTAACGAGTCAAAAATTCAAGGATATAGCTTTTAAACATATTCAAAGATGTGGACACATGTCATGTTCAGGTAGACTATTCCACTCATAAGCTGTACGAGAAATGAATATTTAAAACAGTCAGTACTGGCAAAAGGGATGTGTAGTTTAAGAATTTTTTTAATGAGTGCATCACAGGTGTAAGCTGATCACCTAATAATTGTTATTTATTTTGATGAATATGTGACCACATAAAGATGGCCTAACCTTAAAGATGAGATCATTGTGACGTCGTCTTGTGTCAAACTGTTCGAATTCCCTAATTCAACCCTCGTGAGCCCTCAAAAATGTGAACAATAACCCTCAAAATGGCTTTCACCATCCCATCCAATATAATGTATGAGACCATAGGGAAATGTTGACTGGATGGTGTGGACTCATCCTTCTTGTCTTGGCGCGTAAAAGCAAGCGCGAAAGCGAATTTTGACATCAGCTCAAATATTTGCGCTGCGAATTCGCGCTCAGTTGAACACATTAAACTCGACCGAAATTTCGCAGCAAATTTTTCGTTACGTCAAAGTAATTCGCTTTGTTTTCGCATTCGCCTGAAAGTATAAACTGGACTTAAGGCTCGTTACAGTGAGCAGGATATGAGCCTTTCGGTTAGGGGTAAACATAGGAGTGTACCAATGTGAATTGCTCCTTTTCTTAATGTACAAGCATTTTGGCCAGGTAACGTGAAAAAACATCTTTACAGTTCCACATAGAGCTTTTACAAATCGGATTCTTGACTTGTTATTTATCTCCGTCTGGGATCAGATTTTGTTAATATTTATTTTTTTTAGGATCGTTGTTAAGTTTCACCATCTGACCTCCAACTTTCGACCAAAACGATGGAGCAGGTCAGCCTTGGTCAGTGGGATAAAGATAGAATTACTACTGGTGCGGTATGCGACCACCCAAGGGCGAAACTCATCAGCAAGAAGATGAAAGCTAAACATGGCCGGAAAGCAGCATTCCTGTCTGTCTTTCCAATCAAAGCCTCATCAAGACTCACAGACGACGACAAAGAACTTGTGCCCCACCCAAAAAGAGCATCCACACCTCAGTGTGAACTGAGCAAACCCCCGAATCATGATCAAACGATCACTAAAGCTGAAACGGAGAGGTATTAGCAAGTACATTATTGAATTTTGCTTATCCTGTTATCAAGTTTGATACAGGTAAAGGTCAAGTTAATATTTAACAACCAGCATTCTGATAATATAAATGTTTATTGTTGTTGCATCTCGATTAGATCTGAGTGTGTTTTTGTTAAACCAAGTTATGCTTAAAACTGATCCCATATTAATGTACATGTATATTCTAGTGGTTCGTCGCAATCATAGATTTATTACTATGAATCATCTGTGCATATCAGTGCAAACTTTTACTTTTCGTTTCCAATTATCAAATCAGAATTTGAATATGGTCATTTTCAGCTCACCAGTGATTGTCTCAGCTCCGACATACGCTAAAATGCAACACGATCGAGTACAAATTAAACGGTGTGGTTAAATGGAAACTAGTCGTGAATTTGACTATTGGTAGAAATCAGAGAGTTTCGAAAAATGCAATGTCCCTGTATTTTCAAAAGAAAATCGCTCTCCAATTTCAGTTCGAGTCGTTATGTAAGTATTTGATTATTTTCAGTACGACTGTCTACACTTCTAGTAGTACGTATTCAAGGTATAAAGTCCACTGTGCTTGACACTTATACTAGTACTGTAACTCCTCATACGTGTTCCAATTATCAGACTCAGGCTTAACCTGACAATTTAAATAAAAACCTAATTCATGAAGTAACTTCAAGCTTTACTGAATCACATTTCTGTTGTTTGTATTACAGTCTTCATGAAAGGAAGGAGAAGTTGCAAGTTTTTGTCCGAGGTTCCTTTTTATCAAGGACACTTTGCCTCCAACTAGATCAAAAGACATCAGTTTCATCCTTGAAGGAGTTAATCAAGAACAAGAGTGGTATCCAGCCACAAACACAACATCTTTTCATCCAGAGAAATTTGTTGGTAAGTCTTTACTTACGACCACCGAAGAAAGTTATCATCCATTATCAGAGTTAGTAAATACAAAGTTTTGAAAGCACAGCTGTTGCTGTAAATGTAAATGTTATTTAAACAAGTGTTCAGAGCCATGTTGCAACATGGCTCTGTAACAACATGTTGTTACCATGTAACAACATGTTGTTACCTTAGGCTCAGTACGTTTCTTACTATTTGTCTGTCTTTGGAGTCTGTTTTTAAAAGAGACCCCGAAAAACATGCATCCCATTTAAAGATATCTTACCTGCATTTCATGTCAAATAACATTGATGACTTGAAAGTTGTTGGCAATAATTGCAAATCATGAAGGGAAAAATTAAACATTAAGAACCGACAATGGCTAATTTGCAGCTGTGTGACTCGCTGTCTCTTACCGATCAAGGCATACAACAAGACCAGAACATCGAGATAAGAGCAGGTGGTCTATTGGGTGGTGCGCCTGAAAGTAAGTATTGTAATGGAACTCTTAATCTTTGTTTAAGGGAAGCTGCAATAGAATTCATTTCACACAAACCTTGAAATGCACCTTTGTTTCTCAGTTAAATCCATTTCCAGTTTTGTGTCACGACTTCGGAAGGGGTTTTTCTGCCTGGTTTGTTTTCGTGCAAGTGAGTATTTCCATATTCATGATCAAAACTGTGATGTCAACTCGTGCAAATAAAGTTGCGGCATTTTTTATGTTTTCCTGGCCTAAAGTTCGAGCATCCAAGTAAAAATTATTTCAGTGAGTACCGGTAAATGCTTGGCCTATAAATGGAATAGAAATAAAATTGCACTGAACCATGTCTTCCCCTGAAGCCAACAACAGGGCCCTCAGTTGTCCAGGAAAGTAGGGATACTTATGGAGTTTGAAAAATGCACGTTTCAATCAGCATTTTCCATTGTGCATCCAGCGTATAGAGACGTCAACGAGTTTTCATACTGACACGTCGAAGAAGAGAATTGCAGAAAATTAATGTCCAAGATAATAACAGACGAGTGTCTGATGAGAAGGCTCAAATTTATTTGCAACTCAAAATGCTGTTCCACATATAAAAAGTTTGTTCTTGTAGATTTCTTCACAAAGATATTTTCAACATTTCAGAAGAACAGTTTGCAAGCGGATACTTTTTGGAACTGTCAGAGAAACTCGGAAGAGACTGGGTGTCGCTCGCCATCAACTTAGACTTTGATAACACACAAGTCGAGCAATTCGAAGAGGGCCATAAGGGGAATATAGTCAGGCAGAGCTTGAAGATGCTAGATAAGTGGTACAAGAAGCAGGACAACCCCGAAGAGGCACCCCAGACTTTGAAAAATGCTTTGAGAAAAACGCACCGTGCTGATTTGGCATCAAAAGTTCCAGGTATAATATTGCATCAAAATGCTACAAAATTTTATATCTGAAACCGTGCCTAAAACACAATTCTGAAATGTTTATTATGCATTCGGGAATCTCGTGCGTGATATTATTTAATTCCTATTTAATATCAAGGATGTGCCTACAGATCGCAAGTATGCTTAGATCCGCAATTTTCCACAATTTTTCGCATGACCTTTCAACACAAACTACATGTACATGTAAATTCCCTTTTATAATTGCATTTATGCTGCACCCAATTTTTATTCGGGTGGTTACAAAGAGCTAATTAAAGGAGTTCACATTTTGGAAAAACATTTATCAGACTTGAATTTACAACGTAAACCACACCAACACGATTGGAAACGTTTTTTGATTGAAGCGAGTTCTTCGACAGAAATTAGGATTTTTGCAGTTGTTGACCCACAGAGAACCTCCTTTTAACCCAGGCGTTGCAGGGGAACATTTTGACGTTGAACAGTGTGCGGAGGAACTAACAGCACACTACCAGCAGACCCTGAAAGTCACTACACACCCGACGAAGAGAGGCACGTCCGTGGAGATTGGTAGACTTTATGTAAACCAACAGCTTCTTGAAGAAACCAACCTGGCAGCTCCTAGCTGCTCATCAGAGTTCAAGATACACCCGGCTGCCACCATGAAAGTGGGGCATCTGAAAGGCAAGTCGCAAAGAGGTACCCCTGGTCGCTCAGTGTCAAAAGTGGAAGAAGAGACGGGGTTTCTCTTCCAAAACGTACCCCTTGATTCATACGAGGACATGCTTACCCTCAAAACAAATCGGATATTAGCCACAGCTGAGGCAGGTTACGGCAAAACCACGCTGCTTAAAAAGATTGTGTATGATTGGGTGGAAATAAAGACAAATGGGACGCAACAAACTAACCAATCCCAACCTGGGACAAAGTTTGGTCTGAAGGATTACAAACTTGTCTTTCTCATCGAAGTTAATCGAATGGGTAAGAATTTTGACGTCGTGGATGCCATTTTTTCGCAAATTCTTACAGAAGGTAGATTTGAGAAAGAAGACTTGGAGAAGTATATTCGGAATAACCAAAAGAGCGTGCTGATCCTTCTTGATGGCGCAGACGAAATTTCTCTGCAAAGGTTGACACACACAAAACAGCGCAAGGATGAAATTAACTTGAGCGATATGCTGTCGTTCAAATCACTGAAGTCGTGTAAAATTGTGGTAACGAGTAGACAAAAGACAGCAAATGAATTGCTGACAATGCATGAACACTTCACAAAAGTTCATGTGGCAGGCTTCGATGAGAAAGACAGGGAAAAATACGTAGGAAAGTACTTGACAGATTTTTCCAAACAAAGCCAAAAGAGCTTTCTTGATACGGTCAATGCGTCTAACACATTCCGTAGTTTGGCGGAAATCCCCTTGTTTCTTTGGTTGATGTGCTTCACGTGGGCGGAAGAAGGAAAATTGCCCCATCAAATAACGAAACTCTTCAGTCACAAAATTGAGCATCTTTTCCAGCGTGTGGACAGCAAAGAAACAGACAGCCAAGCAAACACTTACGCACATGACACCAAGACAGACATTTTTGCCCTTGGTCGGCTTGCTCTTGAGGGTTTGCTCGATCCAGATGGACCAAAACTTTATTTCATGGCCTCAGAGATCAATAGAGAAGACAGTGATATTTTCGAAAAGGGTTGTAAAATTGGCTTGCTGTCGAAAACAGAAACTGTGTATGGTCTCACAAGCGTCACTCTCTTTTCGTTCCTCCACAAAACTTTCCAGGAATACTGCGCTGCAGTTTACCTCGATAGCTTGTCAAGATCTGACAAGAAAGAGTTTCACAATGTATTGTCAAGCATATTTAGTGGCGACGTTGAAAGTGTTGAATTTCTTCTCCGCTTCTGCTGTGGACTGAACAAGAACACTGCCCAGACAATAATACGAGAAATTGATGGACTTTTAGGGCAAGACAAAATGAAGGAATCATTACACCGAATTTCGACATTGCTCTTATTCGAAGCTCAATTAGACTCCCTTGTAGACGAAATAGTTGGGACTGGTAACATTAAGTTTACATTCGAGATCCAAGGGGAGGATCTCGTGGCTGCGCACTACCTTGTTCAAACTGGGTCTAAACGTAAAGCTCTGGACATAAACAGTGTCAAAGCTAAGTGCGACAGTTTGGAACATTTAAAACTGTTAAAAGACATAGTGAAAGAAATAGAGTGTAACATCTCTTTGACCCTTAACCTTGCCAACGTGCATTGGAGTAACTTTGTCGATGATTCCCAAGGCATGATAAAGCACATGAAGAGATTAGATGTGCGAACCGGTGACTGGAACATCTTGCAACTTTTTGACATGTTATCCTACAAAGAGTCAAAAATAAGTACCTTGGTCATCAAGAACACCATTTCATTCGAACTGCTATCTGAACAGATGGTGACACCTGGACCAATTATGAGCTTGACTGTATTGGCCCTTGCGGACACTGGCATGAAAAGCAAAGACATCGAGTCACTCTTGTCCCTTCTTTCATCAGCTGGCAGCATAAAGACAGTTCTTTTGAAGGATAACGATCTGCACGGTTTGCAGGCTGTGAAGATCAGCCCTATTCCGTCGCTTTGCGAGCTGCAGCTTCATGAGTGCAGTCTGACAAAAACTGACATCGAGCCAATTTTCTCCCTCCTTGCGGCAGCAGCCAGCATAAAGACGCTCGTCCTAAAGGGCAACGATTTGCACGGTTTGCAGCCTGACCAGATCACCTCTGTGCCTTCTCTCCGAGAACTGTACCTGTACGAATGCAATTTGACGAAGAGTGACATTGAACAGGTGTTCTCTCTCCTTGCAGCAACGGGCAACATACAGGTAGTGGTTCTCAACGAAAACGATTTGCAACGTTTGCAGCCTGCCAAGATCACCCCTCTTCCATCGCTTTGTGAACTACACCTGTATGAATGCAATCTATCATACAGTGAAATTGGGCCCCTTTTCTCCCTTCTTACAGGAGCAGGCAGCATCAAGAAGGTCTTCCTGAAGGGAAACAATTTACGCGGCCTGGAACCTGTCAAGATCGAACCTGCTCCTTTGCTTTCTGATCTGCAGCTTCAAGAATGTGGCCTAACCAATTCTGACATAAAGCCACTCTTCTCCCTTCTTAAAGCAGCGGGCAGCGTCGAGACAGTTGCTCTGTCGGGATGCAGCTTCCGTCGTTTCCAGGTAGACAAGTTCACCCCTGTTTCTTCCTGTGTGCACTACAGCTGCACGAATGTAATCTGACTAACAGGGACATCAAGCCACTTTTCTGCTTCCTAGAAGCAGCGGCCAGCATAACGAAAGTTATTCTTTCGGGAAGCGATTTGCATGGTTTGCAACCCTTCGGTATTACCCCGGTTCCTTCCCTTACTGAGCTACAGCTTCACGAATGCAATCTGACGAGCACTGACATTGCACCACTTTTTTCCCTCCTAGCAGCAGCCAACACCATACAGAAAGTTATTTTGCATGGAAACGATTTGCACGATTTGAAGGCCGACAACCTCACTCCAGTTCCTTCGCTTTGCGAAGTACAGCTACAAGAGTGTAGTCTGACATGCTGTGACATTGGGCCACTTTTCTCCTTTCTGGCAGGTGCGGGAAGTGTGAAGACAGCTTGCTGAAAGGAAATAATCTGCACGGGTTGCAACCTATCAGCATCACCAAAGTTCCGTCACTTTGTAACTTGCAGCTACAAGAATGCAGCCTGACGACCAGTGATATAGAGCCACTCTTTTCTCTCCTCGCAATGGCTGGCAGCATAAAGGAAGTTGCTGTGTCCGGAAGCAATTTTCACGGAATGCAACCTGACATTAGTGACAAGATTCCCCCTATCCCTGGGCTTTGTGAACTGCAGCTACATGAATGTAACCTGGCACACACTGACATGGGGCCACTGTTTTCTCTTCTTGCTGCAGTGGGCAGCATGAGGAAGTTAGTCCTGTCGGAAAGTAATTTGAGTGGTTTGAAGCCTGTCCATGGCCAGGTCCAACCTGTTCCTTCGCTCTGCGAACTCCACTTGTACGAATGCAACTTGACAAGCAATGGTATTGAGCCACTTTTCTCTCTTCTGGAGGCAGCGGGAAGCGTAAAAACAGTTGTTCTCCATGGAAACGATCTCCACGGTTTCCAGCCTGTCAAGATCAATTCCGTTCCGTCTCTTAATGAACTCCAGCTACAAGAATGTAACCTAGCCATCGCTGACATTGGTCCACTCTTTTCTCTCCTTGCAGCAGCAGGTAGAGTAGTGAAAGTCGGTCTATCGGGAGGCAGTTTGCACGGTTTGCAGCCTGTGCAGATCAGTCCAGTTCCTTCGCTTTGTGAAGTGCAGCTACAAGACTGTTGCCTGAAAACCAGTGATATCGGGCCCCTTTTCTCTCTTCTTGCAGGAGTGGGTAGGGTCAGGAAAGCTGTACTCATAGGAGGCGATTTAAGTGGTTTGCAAGATGTCAAGATCGTCCCGGTTTCGTCACTCTGTGAACTCCACCTGTACAAATGTAACCTGACAAATAGTGACGTCCAGCCACTGTTCTCCCTCCTCGTAACAGTTGGCACCATCAGGACAGTTGTCCTGAAAGAGAATGATTTACACGGCTTACAGGCTTTCAAAATCACCCGTGTTTCGTCTCTGTGTGAGCTTCATCTGTATGATTGTTGTCTGACACCCACTGACATTGAGCCCCTTTTCTCCCTCCTCGCAGAAGTGGGCAGCATAAACACGCTCGTTCTAAAGGACAACAATTTGCACGATTTACAGCCTGCTCCGATCGCCCGTGTTCCCTCGCTTTGTGTAATTCAGCTACAACGTTGTGAGTTGAGACGGAGTGACATTGAGTCCCTTTTCTCTATCCTTGGAGCAGCGGGCAGCGTAAAAACAGTCGTCCTGAAGGGAAGCGATTTGCATGATTTGCAGCCTGTTGAAATCACCCCTGTTCCCTCACTCTCTGAAGTTCATCTACACGAATGTTGTCTCACAAACGGGGACATTGAACCACTTTTCTCCCTCCTTGCAGCAGCGGGTAGCATAGAGACAGTTGTTCTGAAGGGAAACAAGTTTTCCAATTTGCATCATGCCCAGATCCCCTCTATTCCTTCGTTGTGTGAACTGCACCTGTACGAGTGTTGGCTGACAAGCACTGACGTTGAGCCGCTGTTTTCCCTTCTAGCAGCATTGGGTAGCATAAAAGTAGTTCTTCTGAGGGGAAACAGCCTGCATAGTCTTCAGCATGTCAGCATCGCGTCTGTTCCTTCGCTTCGTGAAATGGAGCTACATGAATGTGGTCTAACAAACAGTGACGTTGAGCCACTCTTCTCTCTTCTTGCAGCAGTGGGCGGCGTCAGGGAACTCGTTCTGCATGGAAACGATTTGCATGGTTTAGAGACCATGAAGATCACCCCTGTTCCTTCTCTTCGTGAACTACAGCTACAAGAATGTTGTCTGACAAAAAGTGACGTTGAGCAACTTTTCTCCCTCCTCAAAGAAGCTGGAAGTGTAGACAAATGTGTTCTGAGGGGAAATGATTTGCACGGTTTGCTGCCGGTCATGATCAAGCCTGCATCGCCCCATAACCATCAGCCACAAGATCGAACCTTGACAGAACGTGGATCATCTTTCTATTTTCTGTCCCTATTCTTGTCCTTTCTGTGCTTTCTGTTTTTCTCACTGTTTGCAGTGGGGGCAAGCTTAGGTAGAGGTGCTCGGTCAGCAATCAGTTATTATTGGTACGGTTTGCGGCCTGTCAAGATCGACCCTGTTCCTTCGCTTCGTGAACTGCACCTGTACGAATGTGGTCTGACAAACAGCGACGTCGAACACCTTTTCTCTCTTCTAGCAACAGCAGGCAGCATAGAGAGAGTTGTTCTGAAGGGGAACGATTTGCACGATTTGCTGCCTGTCAAGATCACTCCCGTCCTTTCGCTCGGTGAACTGCATCTGAGCGAATGCAATCTGACACCCGATGACATTGAGACGCTGTTCTCCCTACTTGAAGAAGCCACCAACCTACATACTGTTGTCCTGAACGCAAACAGATTGCACGGTTTGTCAGAAATAAACGTCGTTCCTTTTCCATCCTTGAGCAGACTATTTATGGCTGGCTGTGGTTTGGATGACAGTGATATCAAGGCCATTTTTCACTTGCTGTCATCTCTTGGTCATGTCAAGATAGCCAACTTAGCGAGCAATCATTTCAGCGGAGGAGTTACAGAGCCGTTGGCTCCTGTTCCTTCCCTGCTCTTTTTGTCTCTCGGTGATGGAGGACTCGCCTCCGTTCAAAATCTAGAAGGAATAGACTTTGGAGAAATGATAACATTCCACATTTTTACCGTCTCTGAATAATGACAACGATGCATGAATCCTATGATAATCGAGCTCACGTCTATGCCTATCACAAGAACGTTAAGGCCGGTTCAAACTACAGGCGAATGTGAACGCAAACCGAATTTGACGCCACGAAAGATTTATGAAAAATTTCGCTCGTGTTGAAATGTGTTTATCTTTTGCGAATTCGCAGCGCGAATATTTTTACCTGCCTTCATAAATTCGCTTTTATCTTTGGTCTCGAGCCAAGTACGAATGAACCTTTTATTTAGAATTTACCGCACATTGTTCAGGAAACATTGAAACCAAGTTACAATGGACATTCCTGCAAATTATCTAGGAGTATGCCTGGCAACAACACAAATATTCAAATTTAGCCCACATTGGGGAGATTACATGGCATCCATAAAAGAGTAACTTCATGGCATAGCATAGTTTGGTTTTAATTTGAAATTGTAGGTAGCATTGAGATATAATATTCAAGACACAATAGATCTTGTTCACACGGAAGCCGTTTTTTAAATCTTGTTCCCTGAGTCTACCATATTTAATGTAAATTCGTTTGGGGTGGTGCTATGAAGTTGTGTTTAATTTAACTTTTAATTTGTTGCTGTTATGTTTACTCTCAGGTTCCCAAATTGAAAAGTTAACTTTACTTTCAAATCAAGATGGCCGACACAAGGTCATTAAAACAAATAATTGAGAAAAAAGTTGTTGCGTACCTGTTCTCTATTCCCATTTATACATGCACTGGAGGAACCAGTGAAAGAATCGAAACGCATTCGCTGAAGAAGGTTTGAAGGCTGGTCTTAATTAAGTCTCAGTACTACACCCGTTATCTCAAAATCTATGGCAAAATCGAATGGTAAACGATCTTGTTTCATTGATGTTTGACTTTTTCAGTTCTAACAAATATTCAATTTCAATCTAATGTAACAGGTGAATTGAAGAGAAACAATAAACTTTGTATACTTGAGATGGAGGCATAATCTTAAAATGCTGAGGCTTGTGAAGGTATGACTTTTAAGCTCGGTATGAGAGCAAAGCTGGAGTGTAAAGACTGCCTAAAGTTTGCTATTGCTGACTGCACCTTTTAACCATGCATTACATATGATGAATGAAAACGACAGTTACATTTAATACTTAAGTGAATAGTAAGGAAAATGTTTCAGGCCTTACAGTCCAACATTCAATTAACTGTGCGACTTAAATTCAAAGTTTGGCGGCCAATTTTTACAACATTCTGAATATAAGTAAAAGATGAAAGATTCTGACAGTCTGTCATGCAGTTTTTTTAATCATTATGTTCAAACCTTCTTAATCAAGAAACAAGTCAGTCAAATCTTGTTGGCTTGTTTGTGCTTGTAAATATACTTTGTTCAAAAAGGATTTTACTTCAAACTAGAAAAATAGCCTCGTACTTGTAAGTTAATTTCAGGTTTTATATGTAATACTATCAGCTTGTTCACAATATATAGAAAATGTATTGAACATTTTGTATATTTTTCAATTAATAATAAAACTACAATACATTACGTCACGTGGCATGTATTGAGTGCCACTGTTTTTATGAGCCTCGGTAACAGTCGATGGGTGTGGTGTGTGTATTATTACACTTAAAAAAAGTACAAATTCAACTCGTATCTCCGTCCGCTTTGTATTTTGATGAGATACAACTGAGTGAATATCAACCAAGGAGTCTTGTAATAACAAGTACTTGAAAAAGATTTTCAAAAAACTGCAACAGCAATAACAGTTTTTTATAATGCCAAAGCATGGATTTTAATGAAAACGAGTAGCGAGAAGCACTATTATTGTCGCCGTAATTGTAAAAATAATTTGCATAAATATGTGCATTTTTTTTCACTTTTCACCGACGCTAACAAGACATGGATATTTTTTACATGTGCATTTCCAAAAAATTCATATATAGACTGTGCATTAAAAACGTTAAAGTGTGGTCCGCTAGTATTGTCATTTAGTCGAACTGCTTTGTGAATGCTTAATGTATGAAAAAGATTCAGCACTTCCTATAATGACAAACCCAGTTTCGCCTTACTTGCACCATTTTCGTATTTATCTGTCAGTTCACCGTTATGGAAATGATTCACACGAATCATCCACAAGAAAACCATTGACATTTTCTTTTCATTTTATACTGAAAGCCAACCGAAAACTAACTGAGTTATTAATGTTGCCTCATTTAGTAACGTATGCTGTTACTTTTAATACTGACACCTTTGCAAATAAAAGAAGACTTTGTATGGTCATCCTTCCAAATATTATTCAGCTTCGCATCGCATTGTTTCATACTCAAATTTGGAACCATGTGCACGCGGGAAGGAGTGGGCATTGCCCAAAACACCATGTGATTACGTCATCGTGATGTCACACCTGCGTGCACACCTGGGGATTGGGGTTGATTCTGATTAAAGCCATTAATGATGATTCACTGTCACTTTTTTGCAACTTTTAAGCACGGCCCGGGCAGTCATGGTGTTCATCAACGGCGGCGAAACGATTTTCAAAATATTGGGGGCAGTAAAAGAGACCATCAGGCATCGGCCATTAACCATTAAAAGTCAAATGCATTAAGCCCCACCTCATTACCTGCAGGGGACATGCCCCCTCCTTTCAAAAAAGTGTGATTGTGTGGGGGGGGGCTAAGCCAGTGGTCAACTTGTTGGGACATCGATCATTTCAAAATGGCGAGGGGCTTCACGACTGCATTTTAGGGTAAAGTAAATCTTCAAAAGTCATTGGTTAATGAAAGGAAATTTGAAAAGAAAATAAAAAAAAAATTATTTGATGTGCGTCTCGAACACCTGGGAAATTCGGGAGTAATTTCCTGATTTTTCGAAGTTCGGGTATTTCACAGTATGGCAGTTTATTTACTGGCCTGCAACCTCCGTGAAAGTGGGAGAGCGCCCTCTGTTGGCTAACAAAAACCTCCAACAAAGACGCTGGCAAAAGAAGATAAATTCTGTTGGTTGACAGGACAAAAACGGAGCGGGGCCTAGCTAGCTCGGGGCCTCAAATGTCATTTTAACAGCCTAGGGTCTGAAAGCGTTTTCGATATCAGAGCTGGAGGCGAATGGCCAATGATGATTGATGATTCAAAATGATTGTTTTTAACAGCGCCCTCTATAATTCATAAAAACAAAGGTACTGCNAGATGCATTAAGCCCCACCTCATTACCTACAGGGGACATGCCCCCTCCTTTCAAAAAAGTGTGATTGTGTGGGGGGGGGGGGCTAAGCCAGTGGTCAACTTGTTGGGACATCGATCATTTCAAAATGGCGAGGGGCTTCACGACTGCATTTTAGGGTAAAGTAAATCTTCAAAAGTCATTGGTTAATGAAAGGAAATTTGAAAAGAAAATAAAAAACAAAATTTTATTTGATGTGCGTCTCGAACACCTGGGAAATTCGGGAGTAATTTCCTGATTTTTCGAAGTTCGGGTATTTCACAGTATGGCAGTTTATTTACTGGCCTGCAACCTCCGTGAAAGTGGGAGAGCGCCCTCTGTTGGCTAACAAAAACCTTCAACAAAGACGCTGGCAAAAGAAGATAAATTCTGTTGGTTGACAGGACAAAAACGGACAAAAACGGAGCTGGGCCTAGCTAGCTCGGGGCCTCAAATGTCATTTTAACAGCCTAGGGTCTGAAAGCGTTTTCGATATCAGAGCTGGAGGCGAATGGACAATGATGATTGATGATTCAAAATGATTGTTTTTAACAGCGCCCTCTATAATTCATAAAAACAAAGGTACTGCGCTTGTGGACTGCGTGAAGAAAATGGATGCGGATGTGGAACTGGTTTCTTGCCAGTGCAATACCTGCTTAGCTGGAGTAGGTTTGTACTTTACAGTCACATAATCCTCAACAAGCGATGTAGTGTTTCTGTAATATTGCACAGCAGTCATAGAGCAAGGCACACGATGTAGGCGCAGGAAATGTGATTTTGGGGATTCCCCCATCGTACTCCCTGAACAATTGATTGCAATGCAGAAAATTCTTCATTTTAATAACCCAGAAACAAGGCTGAACATGCTGAATGATTCATGTAGATCATGGTCTTTTTTACTCTTTTGTTATCAATCTGGTGTTTATTTAGGCCTGTATGTGTTTTCTTTGATGCAGGTCTTGTTCATGTACACTGTACTGTGTCACCTCAGCAGTGCACCAAAATTCCACCCATCGGGATATGAAATCTGAACCAACCAACGTTCTGCAGGAAACACTTTAAAATGAAACATGCAGATACTTAGGTAAAAGTATACGTAGATGTGCCTTGTAACATATTCACAAGTCCATCTTTCAAATGAGGAACCCTTGAAGGTTGCAGGTAATTGTGCCCCTGGCAAGGTTTTTAGCCAATGTGTGAGAATTGAGTGGTCTTAATTGGCATTAAAAACTTGCATTTCCAAAATTTGGACATCAAGAGGGCCTACATGGAGTCTGTTTCTCTTTTGCTTACATTGCCAGCATATGGATCTGGGCATCTACACCCAAGGATGTAACCCACAGGCATGATAGGCATGTCATACCTGGAAATCAATGAAACCTTTGGAGTTTTTTGGCACGGTTTAAGCCAACTTTTGTTGTTGATGGATGCAGCGTATTATTTACAAACCCCGTTGGTGTAAGCTGTGGACGAAGTGAGATTTGGATGGCTTAATCACTCTGTATTAGCGCCGACTTATTCCCCAAACCATTTCTGATTGTGAACAGCTCCTCCACCATGTATTCCGTCAAGGAACATGGCCTTGAAGAAAATATTGTAGAACCCCAGATACAGGTCCTGGCTTGATTGGGGACACGAGCAAACACAACTCATCAAGTAATTTCATGATGTTTCCTTGTATTCATAATTAGCCATTACATGTATGTTGAAGGCTACATGTACATGTATGTTGACATGTTGTTATTTGTGTTTTTATTTGTTAATGTTCATCTCTTCAATCATGCTGGAGGCACTCCCAGGTGTGATAGCTATTATATTGGTCATAATGTACAAATGTTTGTGCTTTCGCAACTGATTTTGTATAATGGTTTGTTCATCAATAATCCGTGCTATATTAGTGCAAGTATGGCATAATAAACACCAGTAATGAGCATAATTAGTGCTTAGTTATGCACTGCTCAATTAAACCAAATCCAGAAATTGGACCATAACCAACATGGTGTCATTTGACTTTCACCAGAACGTTTTTGTTATACATGTTCATGTGTAACTTCATTATATTAAAATCGGATTTTACATTTTCTTGACAGAGAAGTCAGGTGAGGAGGGGAAAGGAGTGGAGATGCCTGCATCAAATGACCAAGACTTCCCCTCCGACTTGTCGGCTGAGGATGGAGGACAAGACAAGCCAGTATCTCATTATCTGTCATGTACAGCTGCTGATGTATCCAGTGAAGGCGGGAATCCTGGTAGTTATGTGTTGTAGCAAATAACAGTATATTCAGCAAATTAATTTGAAGTCTTTGCTGAGTCTAATAACTTGCAAGTGATCACTTGCAAGTCATCAGAGGCAAATTACAAACTGTCAAGGTACAAACTATTCACTTCAACTGTGATTTTTAAGTGCCCTGTTGTCTTCGTTCGCTGAGCTTTAGTTTTGCTTGGGTAAAAACTTAAGTAGATAAATTCACTTGCTGGGTGGATGGTAGGCCAGATCCTAAAATTATTGTGAAAATATCATCGACCACCTGTTATCATGGGTATCTTCACTGAAGATTTGGCCTTTATAATGTGAACCTTTGCCCACACTGAAACAATCATCGTGAACTGCATGTATTTATACTGAGTTGATATTAAGAATCCTCATGCTGCAGGGCAAAGAACTATTTTGCCCTTAGTGCTTTAAAGAATAAATGGGGTAACGGATAGCTCTTATCATAAATATCCCATGGGAGCTATATGTACATCTGCTGGTACTTGTGTAATTTATTGAACCTCACCGACATGACAGAGGTGAAGTAATGGCCACCATCTATTGCTGTATGCGTACTCCTGCTGTTCACTCACTACATAGCCAAATCCTGACGTTAGATATGTAACGTGAGTGACCCAGGCCCCTTAATTCACCATGTAATGTGAAAACCAATCAGCCTTGACAATTGGTGGCGAAATTAGGGACTTGGCGACTACAAGGTCACAGACTTTCCTTTGTGTTTACCAAACAGCGTATGCATTGCTTTGTAACTTTGCTTGAATTGGTGTTTGTTTGCAGTTGCACTGGAAGATACAACATTTACACGATTTAGTCCTTGTTTCAAATGCAGCAACCAAAGCAATTATGTCTGATACATCTTTCCACAGATCACTTGACCCCCATAGGCATCAATTGGTGTCAGGTGGGGGGGGACGTGCCCCCCCCCCTTTTTCAAAACCTAATTGACAATGTATACCTTGAAAAAGTCTTTGTTGAAAAAACTGGCTAAAGTAGCCAGAACTTGTCTCAGATCACACCACAGAGCATCTATTTGGACCCCATGCCACTCAGGGCTTCTCACTTTGTGCTCACATTCACTCTGATCAGGGCCATGTTCCCCGCCCCCACACTTTTCAAAATGGATTGATGCTCTTGCTTGACCAAAATTATAACTATTTAGGATAACTTCTAATATTGTTCATGTGCATGGTTTATGAAGAACAGAGACTGTACCTGTAAGTTTTGACTATTTGAATGGGAGGTATATGAGATCTGTCAGGCATTTATCTGAAAGCAGATCCTGTAAATCAAATTGTTTTTGTGACTTTGTTCTGTACATGTAGGAAGACATTGCTTTTCAATGTTGCAAAGGTTACAGTGTATGACTCCTGGTATAACTCCAGTCCATCATAAAGATTTGCTCTGGGATAGATCTACACATGAAAGCCCTCAAGGAAAACAGAAATGAATGAAAGCAGAAACAGTTTATGCATGTACAGCTTCGAGCAGAGGTGTGCCTACTCTTTGGTTTCGTGACAGGGATGACTTATACATATCAGGCATACGTGCTGTTGAGATTTTCAAAATATTCTCTGTCTGTGCCTAGCAGCCCAGTCTGCACAAAAGCCATCCAGAATGCAATCAGTACTCTCCAGATTGTTTTGGAGGAGCAAGCAACGTGACAAAGGCCCCAGCTCCATTGGACAGCAGTGTCAGAGAGATGAGATGACATCCCAAGTGCTAGCTGAAATCCCAAGCAGACCCTCACCAAGACATCATCAGGCACCAGAAATTTTGCAAGGTAATGATTGAGTTAACAGTCTCTCATTTTGAAACAAGAAAACAACATTAGTCAATTGTTTGGTGGATTAGATTAGAGCAGTGGGTCAAGGTTCGTTCACAGTTTACTGTCATCAGTGTACCACAAACAGTTCATCAGGAAAGGCAGTGAAGGCAGTGTCAGGTTTAGTCTTTAGAGGAAAGTCATAAAGATTTCACCCAGTCTTACAGTTCTGTGTGATCAAGTGGGTGCTAACAAGGGGGGTCCAGTTAGGTTTGCAAAAGGCCAAATGCTGTGGATGTTATGTGTCTTTCTTGAAAGTTAGTTGACTACTCTTTCTTAAAAGTAAGTTGACTTGTCTCAAGCAATGGCTTCATCTTTAACTGGCTGAGTAAATATCTCTAGCCCTTGCATTTTGAAATTAGAAAACTCCCACTTGTGACAAAGCTTTGACTCAGACTGAGCCAGAATCGCATAAGTCGGGGAACATAAACATCAGGTAAAGCCGAAGATGGGAATAGGGCTGTTTGAGAATAAGCTAGCTACTCAGTGAGTCATTTTGAAAGCCTGATGTTGATGCAGTTTTGCCTTCAGCCAAAAAGAAGCCCTCGTCCAGATTACAGTCAGTTCTGCGCAAGGTCAACAGGAAGAAAAAGGATTGTGAAGGAATGCCCGGGGTCTGCGTTGAACAAAGCTCTGGACAGAGGGCAGTACAATCTAATAAGCATGATCAGCCCTCAGATGGAGAGGAGAAGGTTGACCTGTCAACACAACAAGTGCTGACAAAGGGTTCTCATCCAGGTACAGTTTGACTTGATTCTTTTTGGAATGTAAAAGAGTTTGAATGCAAGATTTTATCCAGCGTGGTGTCCAGGTGTCTTTGAACATCCATTAGACTCTGGTTGCCGTTTATCATTTTCGTGTTGTTGACAGTACTGTGATCATCCACGGAAGGGAACTGTGCTTGTACTTTATAGTGTTCCCTTTGCCATTTTGTGTCTAAATAAACTTGTGACCGAATTTTCGAAGTCTTGTTCCAAACCAGAGAAAGTTTTATTTGTCTTTTGCAACATTGTCTACCAATAATATTGTCAGATGAAAGGAAGGATTTCCTGACTTGATGCCTTCATGTTTCATGATTCCAGTTATAACAGCATTGGAATATGCATACTTAGCTGGTATCAGTGTCGCAGTCGAGTCCATCAAAAGTCCCCACAATCATCCAGTCCTAAGCCAAGTCAGCAGCCGTTAAGTGAAATTTGACCAATCACAAGCATTTCTTTGTCACTGTTCACCCTGCTATCTGTGACTGGTCTTGTGAAAAGCTTGTGACTGGTCTGTGAAGGAACTTACATGTAATTTGTTTATGCATAAAGGTCTGAAGGTAGCACTTTTGTCAAGTTCATCCCATGTCTTTTAGTGTATTAAGCCATGTCACAAGCTATTTAAATGAACTTTAAGGAAAGCATTCCCCGAGCAGTGTTCACCCTGTTACTCATGACTGATCTTGTGAAAGGAGTGGATTTGTTGAAGAACTTTTGTCATAGACTTGACTACTGCAGAAATATGAACCAATTGAGCGTACACACTTGCGACTTCTTTGAATTATTTAGTATTAATCTAAGTTCATTAATCCCTCCCTTTTTTGGGCATCAAGTCGAGCCAGACAGAGCTGCTGTCGTTCATTTCTCCCCGCGAAGTGCTTGTCATGTTGAGACTCTCAACGTCACTGGTGATGAGAATCCTTGTTTCTTTGGACCAATGTATGGGCCGACGTTCAACCTCACAGTTGTCTCTGCGCCAAAAGGTATTAATGATGAACACCAAATGTCTACCTTGGCAAGACTTCTTAGCCAAGTCAAGCCATGGTAACTGGCGATCAGCGTACATATGGACTGCTGACATTTGCATTATACTACTTCACATTCCCAAGCCACTGGCAGTGAACATACAATGTTATATTACCCCTGACTTGTTTTAAACATGCACACATATTCCAGGAAGTTGGGACAGGTTGATATCACTGCAAATATTGCTCCATGATGGCACCCAAGTGTGTTCCAAAATTTGGCTGAAGTGAGAACTATCATAAAAATTTTGCCCAAATGATTTCAACGAGTTAGTTTGGCAATGTGTCCTGCCTTTTTTTCATAATCAAAACTGTGGGCAAAAATAATGCTTCCTTTAAGTGGTTAGTTCTCCACATGGCCCTAGTCTCAGGGAACAATGTCATTTGTGTTCTTGTGTTAACTTGCAGACCAAGGAGAAGACAAACGGGAAATACACTCTCATGATGCTGTCTTTGGTAAGTTACCAATCTCACCGGAGGACACCAATAGACGGAGTAGTAAAATTCAAACATCAGGTAAATTTGCTTTTAAACGCTTTGTGTTACTGATTTCAAAAGACAGTGTTCTTATGTCCTCATTGGTATTTTCCAATAGTCACTTCAAATGTTCCTATGTGTTCTTGCCTCCGATTTGAAGGACTTTCCTCATTTTATTACAGCGGAAATGCCAGTTGCAAGCAGTAATTCTGACAGACAGCCTGGCCCATATGAAGAACTCAGTGCCACCAGGAAGCTTCAAGAGGCTACACTTGCTGAAGCTGCTGCTGATCTTTGTGAGAAAGCGTTGCAATCCCGGTACACCACCACAGGGAGTTATGTGCAAATCATCCCGTGGCTTGAAGATGACACAAAACATATCATGGATATCTATACAGGCCTGCAGGTTGTAGGTGATTATATCAAAGGGAAGCTCAAGTCATATAAGGGAATTTTCCTTGTTGAAACCAGGGAGGGTAATGTTATCAAGCGGATCATTTTGGATGGTCAAGCTGGTGTTGGGAAGTCAACCTTAATTGCCAAAGTAACGTATGACTGGGCCATGAAATGTGTCAGTGTGTTGCTTAAGTACAAACTTGTGTTTGCTCTGAAAATGCACTCTCTTGAGCAAAGCTCTGAGCTTGTTGATGCAGTCTTTGCACAACTGTTGGACCGAGACACCCCCATTGATAAGTGTGCTTTAAAGTCCTTCATCAACACCAATCCTGAGAAGGTACTCATTCTCTTGGATGGTTTCGATGAATTTACGACCACCGACCTGAATGAGTCTACGTTTGGCTCCATCCTCAAAATCCTGAATCGAAAGGAGTGTAGAGATTGCTGTGTGGTGGTGACAACCCGCTCCTCTCACTTAAGCAAACTGGTGAACAAGTTGTTGGTTCAGAAGCCTTTCACCCACGTCCGAGTCCTAGGGTTCAGTGCAGAAGATGTTAATGATTATATAAGCAAGTTCTACTCCAAGGAGCCTGAGAAAGCTCAGCGGCTTTGTGAGAGAATTCAGTCTTCTGATGTGTTGCGTGATCTGGCCAGGAGCCCCATGCTGCTTCTTGTGATGTGTGTTTTATGGAGAGAAGATTCTTCTCTCCCAGACACAATGTATCGTCTGTACAGTGAGGTACTGAGATACATGTTCAAGCGGAAAGCTGGCATTTCAAATCATGAAGTGTCTAAGGTTGTCGTCGAACTTGGGAAAATTGCTTTTCATGGTCTCATATCTCCAGTGCAGCTGCTTTCATTTAAACAGAGCGAGTTTGTGAATAGTACATTAAATACAGCATTAAGAGTAGGTCTTGTAACCAGTCAGAGGGTTATGAAGGGTTTGGACACACTTGACAGCATTCAGTTTATGCATATGACATTCCAAGAGTTCAGCGCAGCCAAATATTTTCAGAGCTTGTTAAAAACCAGCCCTGAAGAATTTCAGAAGATACTGAAACAACTTGAGAATGCAATCAAGAACCATCCAGCTGGTTTTGAGTATCTACTGCGCTTTTGTTGTGGTGACAGCCAGGGATGCACTGCTCAAATCTTGAAAATGCTGCAGAATACATTTAGCAACTCGGCATTAAAACTGGCCCTGATGTGCTTCTTTGAGAGTCAGTCAAAGAGTATACCTTCCCAAGACCTTGTGAGTGCAGTGCTGTCGAGTGCAGTACACATTGAAGACTGCAACAGTGATAGTCTGAATTCGCATATGTGGTTTGTCAAACAGGTCATGGAACAGCCAGAGGGACATGCCAATGCCAAGCTTGCCAGCGTAGCAGAATTGGCTGTATGCAGATGTAACCTGCAGAGATGGGATACATCTCTCACACACTGTTTGAAGGGATTGAGTAATTTATCCATCTTAGTGCTTAAAGAATGCTCTCTCTCTGTCATAAATATGCAACATATTGCAGCATCGATTGGCAAGTTAGTCAACCTGACCTTGCTAGACCTGTCAGGTAATGAATGTTTAGGTGGCTCAGTACCATCTTGGGTCTTGCACCTACACGTTCTAAAAAGGCTGGAGAAGCTGAATTTAGAAGATTGTCATTTAAATAGGAAAGACGTTCGAAGCCTGGCTGTGTCAGTTGGACATATCGGCAGTCTTCACGATTGTTCTGTCCAAACTGACGTTCATCGTCGTTCCCCAGCGGATGACCTTGTTTGGCCTACCAACCGCCTAGTGAGTGAGACTGAAAAAGAAACAAGTAGGAAACGTGGTATAAGGCTAGATATAACTGAGTGTTCGTTGACTGGTTCAGACATGGCAGAAATAATGGAGGCTTTGACCAGACGAAAAGACCTAGTTGAGTTGGTCCTAAGTAGAAATAATGGTTTGGGTGGTTCAGCAACTCTCTGGTTTAATCCTCTCATGCATCTGAAGAGTCTCCAAGAGTTGGTCTTGAGTAACTGCTTGCTGAAAGACAGTGACATTGAATACATTGCAGTATCGTTGAGTGGAATGCCTTTAGTGGCAAAACTGGATCTGTCACAGAACAGCTTGGGTGGATTGGGTGGTTCCTGGGCCTCTCACTTTCAGATCATGACGCACTTGCAGAAGCTGAGCCTTAAGTACTGCTCACTTACTGGTGAAGATGCAAAGCTGCTAGCAATTTCGCTCAGTTGTCTGGCTAACCTTACCAAGTTGGACCTCTCTTTCAACGAGTCTCTGGGTGGCTCGGCTGGAGTCTGGGCTCCTTGCCTTGACCAGATGAGGTCACTTCAAAAGCTATACTTACGCCAGTGTGCTTTGTCAAGCAAGGATGTAAAATACATTGCCATGTCCCTGAGCAGTATGGCCAGCTGCAAGGACTTGAACCTCTCTAGCAATGAACTGCTGAGTGCCTCGGCAGGCAATTGGTCCCCTCACCTTAGGCGCATGCATCATCTTAAGAACCTGATATTGCTAGGTTGCAATCTGAACAAACAGGATTTGAGGCATCTTGCTACATCATTCAGCTACATGCCGAATCTGGTTAACTGTTTGGTTAAGAGTGCTTACTTGAGCGGGCGATTTCTGGTTGAACCTACTAAAACTGGCATCAGGCTTGACCTTAGTCAGCGCTCTTTAACGGGCAAAGATCTAGCCTTCATCCTTGAAGCAGTGAGCAACAGGAATGACCTTGTGGAGTTTATCCTCAGTGGAAATGTCGCAGTTAGTGGCTCGGCAGCACTGTGGTCGCCATACTTAAAGCAGTTAAGACGACTAGAACGATTGGAATTACATCACTGCTCCTTGCAGCCCAAAGACATCGAACACATTGCTCTGATGCTTGAGGATATGACATCTTTGACCAAGCTGGACTTGTCCCTGAATGACACCTTAGGTGGTTCAGGCAAACTGTGGGCACCCCAACTGAAGCTCATGAAGCATCTACAAATGTTGGACTTGAGTTCATGTGATTTGACAGGGGTTGACATGAAGAATATTTCTGTGTCACTGTGTGATCTGCCAAATCTGAAAGGGTTGAAAGTCTCCGATAATGATTCTCTGGGTGGCACAGCATCATTGTGGTCCGTCCCTTTGCAGTCCTTGAACCATCTTGAGATGCTGGAATTTGATGAGTGCAATATCAAAAGGCAGGAATTCAAGTATGTTGCTGCATCAATCGGTCTTCTGAGAAACCTTGTAAACTGCTCTGTCCGAAGCAATTACATGGGCAGCAGGTTCCAGTTTTCAATTCAGCCCGTCAGTTCTGGGATACATGTGTACCTGAGTGACTATTCACTGACGGGCACAAATCTAGCAGATATTTTGGAGGGTTTGAGTTCTAGGTCTAGTGACCTGGTCGAATTAAGCCTTGTTGGTAATGATGCACTGGCAAACTCGGCATCTCTGTGGTCCTTCCATCTGAAACAGTTGAAGAACCTCCAAGTGTTGGTACTGAATCGGTGCTCAATGCTCGGATCAGATGTGGAACAAATTACTCTAACTTTGAGTAGCATGCCCTCACTTCGTGCATTGGAGCTGTCAGGGAATATGGCATTGGGCGGTGCCTGCAATGTGTGGGCGCCTTTTTTGTACCACGTGAAGCATATCCAGGAGCTGCACCTAAGCTGTTGCTCACTGATGCCCAGTGATATGAAGCACATTGCCGAGGCATGCAGCGTGATGCCTGCCCTCTCCGAATTAGATCTTACCGGCAATGAGGCGCTGAGTGGCTCTGCAGCATTGTGGGCGCCACACCTGAAGCAGATGAAGCATCTTTGTAATCTTCGATTCCAGGAGTGCCTTCTAACGGGGGAGGATAAGCAGCATATCGCTAGGTGCCTGTCTCTGAACGAATCAGCCAGCTGCTTTATTTAACACGTTCAGGAATGTAGTACTTATTATTGATGACACAAAGATGGGTTTGTCTCGCCCGTGACTCGTTGAAATCAGTGTAGTATTTCCTTGAATTTTGTACTGACACATCGAGTTTGTCCGTGACTACGTCATTCTGAACACATTTATCATTTCATCAGTTCTGCTACCTTAGAGGCAGCTGAGCATTTGCGGTATTAAGTAGTGTATCTCGCAGGACGACATGTTCTGTCACACTGTGGACAGCTCATAATAAGTATTCTTCACTTTAGTACATCACTCTGAGATCTTAGGTCTTAGACTGGTAGCACATTCCACTTTTCACACCACGTTGTGGTTAAGTGACATCTTGAGTTAGACAGTCACGAAACGACTACCTGGTTTTGTTATATATCAGCGGGTATTTTTTTTTTATTTACACCGTAGTCTAGGGTTTTTGCTCTGGTAGTGCTGATTCGCGCTTGAAAAAGACTAATGCTGACAGAACCAGTCAGAGAGAGCGCGCGAAAACACGAAACGATGGTGCCCGTACTACAACAAATAAATATCTGTATTTAGTCCCGAAAGTTGATACTTCAGAGGTGATAGACCGATGGATTCTATTGGGGCGATTCCTCTTCCTCTGATGGTCAAGTTTTTCTTTGATTTATGTGAAAAAGTAGAAGTTATATCACTACTGTGATCTCTGGCTTGATGAGCTAGGGTAGCCAACCGCATGCCTTGTTTTTTAGCATTAGTTTTTTCGGGGGGAGGGGATAAAATACAAGTGCGATGTGCAGACGGGTTATGGCTTTGCAGCAAATTGCGTCAATAATGCTTCATATACCTATGGTAAAAGTCTCCCAATATCAAAAATTATTACTGTTAGCTGCAGTGCACTGTATAGCACAGCAAAGAATGATATCAAAAATTCGAATCCTTGGTGCGCCACTGCCTGTATGCATTTGAAGCATGGAAGAAGGGAAACCGTTGAAAGACTCAATAAAACTTTTACTCATTATGAGCTTAGTATTTCGGTCGTGAAGTTACGTTTGGTTCACGTTTTGCATTGCGTAGGCCTACCATGATTCCTAGTGGAGCTCTCACATAACATTTAGCAGCATCTGAAGCCTTGCAATAACGAGACGTCTTCCAGTTTTTAGTGACATGCAGTGAAACCCTTTAGACTGTCTGAACAATTATGTCATATTTCCGCCACCACGTTAAATCCTATGCGCTTGTGTATACATACTCAGCACTAGTCTCTTTTCATGCGCAAATTGGTACCACCACCCTAGGCTGCGGTGAAGATGAAAAATACGCCAGCAGGTAGTACTGTTCCATGATACTCAAAGGTTGAGCAACATCTTTGCTTCTGAGTGTCTGTGCAGCGCTTGGTTTAGTCAGATCTTGGCCTGTGTTGGCCTATAGTATCATTTATGTGTACATAGATTATGTACAAATTCACTCCGAAATGAATCAACATTCGTATTAGACAGTGCACTGTCCAACATGACCGTTGATTCCTTTGGGACATGTATTTTCCTTTCAGTACACCATTGAAAACTGTTACTTTCCGTGAAGTATGTGCTTACTGTGATGGTGTGTCTCGTGCTAAAGACCCATTGTTGATTTTTTAAACATGTATGTGCAATATAAGTTCTGTTTGCTCTTATTTAGCTGTGAACATTCATTGTGGTTTTATGTGCAGATGTCAAACCTAAGCAGCTCAAATGAGGAAAATCTATTAGTTTTATATTGTGTTCGGACAAAGAAGATTGTCATTTCGATTTTTTCTTTCAAATTGTGAAGTTCTTTAAATTTGATTGTAAACTTACAACTTGTGTTGGTATTTTTGTAAGTGAAACCTTTTATGTGATATACATTAATCATGCGTTTTAATGAACCTGTGAGTGTAAACCATGCATGTGGGAGATATTGAGTACTACGCGTATTGTGTCTTATGAAAGTATGTTTTGAATCAATTAATACTGCCAGAAAGTATTTTAAAGCGGAACGAGGGGTGCCTAGAAGTAACTGTATCGAAATTGCAACATTGAACAACACCCAATGGGACAATTAGATCTGGCCAAGTCTTTTGCAGCTGTATCATATCTTGTGTAGGATTTTGCACCGTCATCACCGGTGTTTGGCCGAGGAAAGAATTAGCTGATGTAACAATTTACACGGTCCTTCTCCCGACCAATCACACCTTGTTGAATCTAGCTTTAGAATCTTAGGTGTACATCGACAAAATGAAAATTGAAAGACGAGTAGAAAAACAAGGTGTACAAGACATCATAATGTGTACACCTCCAGTTTCAAAAATTTTGTTTGCAATGTAAACGATGCGTTAAACATGTCAAGGTAAGGCCTTGTTTTACCTTAATTGTTATGAAAACGTTGCCAAGTTTGCCAACTAGTGAGTTGCCCTTTGGAAAGACAGAAGGGACCATTCACCTAAATTCATAAATACCCCAGACAGTCTCCCTATTCAACATCATGCAACTTGACCGCGTATCAACATTTTGATAATGCCCGGCCGCTGAGAATGATATAGTAATACCCGCTGCAAAAATCACGCGCTGGCACCTGGATACGAGACAATTTAAATCGATTCTGATTGGTCAAGAGTCTGCGTGCACGTGGCTTGCCACACGTATTCCTAGTCCATACATGTTTAAGGTACGTCGTCATTTAAATATTGCCATCTAATATTTTATCTTTTTTATTATTAAAGATAGAATTCAACACTCAGGATTTTTACGAAGAAATGTGTACAGATATATGACAAATTTGAAACCTTAATTTGTACAGATGTATTACATCATGTGTTGGCTATGAATATGCGATGTGCGATGCAAAGGTGTACAGTGGTTTTAATGAGATAGGGGAAACACTGTCAAATATATCGATTTTTAAAATTGAAGACCTAGTAAGATATACTCCCACAGAAGTATTTATCAGTGAAACATTTTACACAAAGTATGTGCGCTAACTACTTACTGATCTTTATTTGTGCCAATTTGTAAATGTCAAGTATAGGTAACTTATAAACTCAAGCAAATGCTGCCTGTTCTCAGGTATTATGTACTTATGACAAATTTGAACCGAAATGCCGTTGAGGTACTTATTACATTCATGTTGCAGGTTTGCCATGTTGTTTCGTCCGCCATAATTAGTGACAATAGTCGTAGTTCAGTCGTCGTACTCCTACATGTACTCTAAATTACTGTTGGACAATATCTGCGAAGGAAGTGACATGGTTTGAAATAATAAAGTACTTTTCTAAAGAGGGTAATTCTTTCTGCAATTCGGTGCTTACAGTTTTAAATAACCTGCCAAATATTTCTGATTTTATGAATTTTGAGACTAACTTGATAATGCTAATTATAATTTTATTTGTAACTGGAACCTCAGATGATTCACTACTCTTAATACTACGTTTATACGCTTTTTTGCTTTACTATATTTAAATGAGCAACCTAATTTTTCATTAAAGACCTACTTTGAGACATCAGATCCTACTGGCATGGTAGGGAAACCTTTTTAAGCCAGGGCTTTTGGTTTCTGTCAAAAAATGGCACGAGCAGTATTTTTATATTGCAATACAATTTTACCAATGCTGAACATCAAAATATTTCCACGGACTTATTAATACAAGTATATCGCGGTGAGAATTCACAACTTGCACTGCGCAACCTCCCGTTTTATCTACAATACCCCACGTAATCTGTAGTAGTTTATATTTTCTGAAAAAAAATACTTCTACATGGCGGTGCTGTCCAACTGTCACATTGTAAAGAATTGACAACTACATGTATACACCTGCTGTACAGAGATTGTAAGTTCATTTCAATTATAACAGAGTACTGGTAAACTGTTTTGAGTCGTGAAGATGCTAAGTTTAATGTCGGATGCTTTACCCTTCACCGACGTGTATTTGTTATTGTGTAAACACTGTAACCATCTTAACCATCACCCGTTGCTCTTCAGATTCGAACCGGCCCACCAGTACCGGCAGGCTCAGTGGTCGAGTCGTAAGACGTCTACACTGGTAAGCAGGAGGTCGTGGGTCCGAGTCCCACCAAAGAAAGGTGGTGATTTGTTTCACAAGATTTGGAAGAACATTGATTTAATCCAGTGTCCATAAAAAAAAAGAACGGTGGTGAAGGGCAAAACACCTGATGGGCTGTAGAGCCTTGTCGTTTTCAAATCTGACCAAAGAGTGGCAATAAGTGAGGTTGGCCCCTTCTTTTTAATTAACCTTTTCGCTCCCGGCTTCTTAAAAGACCCCTTTCGTGTACATGTTTCTTGTAGCCTTAAGTGGAATTCTTCAGCCAGGATGTAATGATCGAAGCTTGTTTGTCGTGAGTAGATTATGCCAAACTGACTCTGACTTCCTCATAGTAAAATCTTTCTATTTTTTTCTGCTACTGGAATGAATATGCAAAACGAGAATAAAAAAGAATGCGTAGGACGTCCATAGAAAAGTTGAAACGATTTAAATGTAATGTATAATGTTAACTAGACTGCCGTCAAAAAAAAGTTGGACAAAGTACCACTTTTGGTTTACGACGTACTGGATAATATTCTATGTACTTAAGAATGTTGCCTCTTCATTTGCAATATGTCTAGCCTAAAACCCTTAGGAATTCTGTATTCTCATTATTAACGAAATTACAACATTAATCATTCTTTAAGAACAAATTATGAATAATCCTGCCTTATTACTTTCTCCAAGTGTCAAGTGCAAGTTGAGGCCTTATTTCCAGCTAAGTCTATCGCAGCGCCAGTATGTCTACCCCTCCTCATCAACTGTAGTTATGAAAGAGGACTTTGGCAATATTTCCAGTTTCACTAATGCTTGAATCAATGGCCGAAAATGTCAGATGCTTGATAGGTCCTCTCCATTCTGCAGCTGTTATTAAAAAACAACTGGGGCATAACAATTAGTAAAAAGAATAAGAGAATAAATATGTGTTTGTCTGAAACAGGTAATGTTTGAGACTTGTGCGTTCACTTCTTGAATAAGGATGTGCAAGAGAAGTGGGCCATTTTCTTCCAACATTGGATACAAGTATTTCGCTTGACTATTGGAAAAAATCGAAACACTTGGTTTTTGGTGCAAGAAACATATTCTATTATTGTTGGGTAAATGACTCAAGTTGGACACAAATCATGCAAGAATCGTTGCGGGTGGGCAGTAAAATCTCAGCCGACACTGTTTTTTCCCACCTATGTTGTTAAAAGATTTAAAAAAAAACAACCTTGTCCGGGACGTATGGGACGGCAACTCTGTCGAGGATTTAGAGAGGGTACTGATATCAGCATACTTTAATGTAAAATTTGAAGGAGAAAGTTTGCAATGAGTCTACTTTCTAAATTAGAATTTTCATGGGATTGCACAAAATCTAACGATCTGTCACTAAGAAGATACGTGTAAAAAAATCACTTACATATTAAAAAGACTACTTCTACTAGACCTCTATGAGACTAATGAAGTGGCATCTGTAGTTGTCTACTTGAAATCACCCTCGTCCTCAGCTGCTTTCTCCAGTTCTATGAATGAAGAAAAAAAGCGAAATCGGCACTGTTATGTTTTTTACAGTCTGACTGAAGGCCGGTTCATACTTCACGCGAAAGTGAAGTAAACTTGAAGTCACGACGAATTGTAGCTAAATTTCGATTGAGTTTTAATGTGATCAATATGTACGAATTTGCAATGCTAATATTTTATTTGAAGTCACAAATACCCGTTTAAGTTCGCTTTCGCGCCAAGTTCTCAATGTTTTTTCATGGTAACGCAGAGCTTTTTTGAGTCCGGGGCAAAATGGGAATAGTTTTCTAAAAAAGATTGACAATGTTTATCTTTGAAGGAATCGTGTCAAAGAGAGGTCGGAATACAATTTCTAAAGCGTTAGCACTTTCAATTTCATAAAATATTGCTGAAATAACAAATATCGGCTGGATACCTCCACTTTGCTATCGAAGGCTATACAATCATGGATTTTACTATCATTCCCACCGAATTTCTGGGGAACTGCCAAACAGAAAATACTACGGCTTGAGAAGAAACTAACTGCTAACGAAGGATCAGGTCGCAATGCTTCCGACGAGAGAGGGGAAACGCTTACTGATGCATAAGTTGTTGCGACCAATTGCTCTAAGTCCCCCAAGTAGCCCACCAAGCACGTCGCCCTTGGCAGTGCGTTCGATGTATTCTGCCAGCATGCTCCTTGTCTCCTCCCGTTTATTATCTTTGTTATCTATCTTGAAGATTTGCAGTTCACCCACCGTGAATCCCAGCACCAAGCCTAAATCCCATCCATCTCTACCCAAATCGGTTGCAAGCTTCCGCAGGCTTTCACCTTTCAGGTAATTTGGGATTCCATCTACAGTGGAGAATAAAATGCCATTTTAAACATCATAGGAACGCGAATATCAGATGAACATGTAAAAAAACCTTCAGTAAATACCTACACAAGTGGTAGAGGTATTTCCTTTTTATTACCCTGTAACCCCCCCCCAAAAAAAAAATAAATAAATAAATTTATGTATATAATTGATCAGCTAAAGTAAATAAGTAAACTAATAAACGGTGCAAAAATTGGATATGAAGCACATGAAGTACCAAAAATCACTAAGGCCACAAAACGAGTGCAATAGCTATAGATGCTTCCAACAACACTGCAATAATCAAAATATATTTTGTTCTTTAGGGCAGTCATCTAAGATGTCATGTATAAACTAACTTGCCTTGCTGGGATACATTGGTTCCTTGGGAAGAGCTAGCTGCACCACACTGTTTGCTCGTCATGTCTCGGTTTGTAAGACGGACTGAACCTTATGGGTTAAAATAATACTTTTTCTGACACGGTTGTTTCAAATTTGTGGAAATATATGAATATTAATAACCCTGCATAATGTGTACAGCGCAGCCGCGCTGAGGATGTCTGCCCATGCAGGCAATTTATGGAGTAAACATGCAACCATGACGTAGTCCTCACAAGCTATCCGCCTCCGTGTTCCACCTTTATTCCACCATCCCAATAGTACTTACCCTTTTGATAATCTGAAACGGCTGATCTCATCCAAACCGGAGTTATAAAACAGAAGCAACCAAGTTTACAGTTACACAGAAAGCAGCAGTCTACTTAGTGTAATGATAAAAAGCCTTAGCGGTAACCTTGGGGAACAAAACTAGCGGTGCAATTTTGTTGTTTATTTCTAGTGGACTCTTAAAACTATTTTTAAGAACTAATTACAGTATTTGGTAGGTACGTTTAAAAGCGAAAATACATGTTCAATTGCCAAACGTCAACTTCAATTGCTAAACAACTATCCAAGTATCCATCCACACTATAAACGTGATCAGTATTTAAGTAAAACACATTTACAAACTGAAAACCAGACAGTGTTTAGAAAAGTGTTGACTGCTAAGCACAGGTTTTGCACAAAAATAATTTTTGATGGCAGGCCGAGAAATGACGAGGCTGAAAACGGTTTCTCACGTGACGTCACTTGACGGGCAAAGACATTTCAGGAAGCGTGCGTTTGTCGAATCTTTGTCCTTCAATTAGCAACGTCATGTACGCAAGAATGCTGAGAGACCTCAAAGGTGGGCTGACCGTCAAAATTATAAAGTTACTAAAAACCTCTTGTTAAATACTGCAATGCACGCACGCACGCGTTTGCTATGGCACATTTCACCAACTGAAGTTCATTTATTTCCTCTCCTTGTAAGGGCGCGGTTAGGTCTTGTACCTTAATGATAAAAATGACAACTAGAGGTGGTGTTTGTGAACAAACACATAGCTGTTCCAAAAATGTTTTTTATTGTCTTTTAAAGCATATCAACGAGTATCATAAGTTTGCAATGAATTGGATTACAAATAATTGCCAAAGTGGCATATATAACGAAAAACCAATTATCACTGCAATTGAACGTATGGTGCATGAGACATGACAATTTGTGTGTTAAAATACAAGTTCCGGTCAAACCGAAAGTAGAAGTCAAGATAGAGGTCAAGATATCAATTATCATTTATAACCCCTCCCTGAGTACGTGCATACAAAATTTGAGTTAAATCAAGTTTTTAGACTGTAACGAATGAACATTTGAATTGAGGTCAAGTGACCCCCTGATGACGTCACGATTACAAAAAAAATTAGGGGAACGTCTTTTGTTAATTACTCTACCAAGTTTTAAATTGATCTGACTGAAAGAAATTGCCAAAGTGCCCCTTAGGAAAAAGTAGCAGAAAAAGAAAAAAAAGGAAAAAAACCTTAAACAATTACAAAAGCTGTTCCAAATTGAGATTTGGGAACAGCTGAAAAAAACTTCAACGATTACAATACTGTAATTGCAACACTGGCCAAAAAAGCATGGTGAAAGGGCTTTTTAAAATCTACCATGAAAGCGATGTCTGGACATTGCTCATAATCATCCCAATGTTTATGATATTGGAATGATGATTAAGGTGTCGTCTTCAGATGCACCAAACATCTTTCACTTTCTTCACACTCTTGTTTTGGGGGATTTATAACACCATCCACGTGACAGAGGCAAAAATCACCATTTTCATTTGCAAAGTACTGCCTCGTAAACTTAACCTCAGTACAAGCCGTAATATCTATGACATCGGGAAATTCGAATTTCCATTACAATCCACTCAGATTGCAGACGTCTTCTCTTTCTGCCAAATTTAATATCTACCCCAACAAAACTCACATAATATTGCGTGGGTGACACACAGCGCGTGAGTCACTCAAAGTGTAACATACTTTACTTGAACACGAAAAATGATATCTTTGGCGCAACTCCTGGAATTTCTTCCTGGAACTGCCATCTTTTAAATCGGGAAAAATTGTGGGTGTATACTAGGTGCATTGTGTAACAGAGTCCGACAGGTTATTCACGCGTGTCATGAATTTTTGTGTGTGTAACGCACCAACTACACATGAGATGCAACATTGTGACGTCATGGTAATTCCCATTTTGATGTCCGGAAAGTCCGGAAGTTGGACCCCAAATGCCGTTTTTTTCCGTATAAAACTGTAGGCCTATTTCAATGTTCAGTGACTCTTTTAACGGCTTCCGAATTTTAATCCTTGCAAGATTTAAGATGAGTTTTGTCAGGGTCAAAATCAAATCTAAACAGAAAGAAGGACTTATACCCAAACATTACATCTGAAATTTGAGCAGATAAAACAGCAAAGGGCATATTCTTGGCCCCAGCCATAAACGCAAATATCCCTATGTTAAGGGCCCGTTTGTTTGCGCATTGGTTCATTTATACCAAAACAAGCCAAATGGATGGAGTGAACCAGCTCCAATTGGGACCACTGGTTGAGATCCAGATCCGTGTGATGACAAACAGGCCCAATATATCAGGGCTTGAGTTTCTCAAGCTATTAAACCAAACTGCACGGAGTGTTGCTGTGTCACCTTCACTCCCAAATGTAGCCACGAGTGTACAAAAACGACTGGTGTGCATGAAGTAAGGAAATAAACTTAGTCTAAACCATACCTATAACACCTTTGCCTGTTTGTCCGTGAGATCAAAATGACTTTGAAATTATTCCAGCTACACTTAATACCATGCTTAATACCAACTAACTCATCATGGCCGGCAAACTGCTATTTTTAGTACACATCGTAACAGGGACTTTCCACTTGATCTGAGGGCGCTGTTGTTATATGCTGGATCAGGGATCATATTTCTGTTTGATATATAAACGCTAAAAAATCGTTGCACACAGCGGTGTGTTCGCCTATCTGTACTTACTAGTCAAAAAGGTGCAAAGGAAAATGGTCAGAAATCATGTAACCTCCTTGCATGGAAATAGGGTGACATTTATTGTGTCAAATGGCCTTTCCTCCTAAATGATATTCTGTCTAGCTTGCTCAAATTTAGGCACATCCTTAAGAAAAACATACAAGGAACGAAATAAAGTAAGAGAAGACACACAGATTCATTTCACGAGGTGTGTTTATACTTAATTTTTTGTGCCCTATTATTAGTTAACGTTTTGTTTTGTTTTTTACATTATACTGCATTAAGAAATAATCATTACACTTCCTTGATACTACATGCAATTTAAGAACTGTACAAACAAACAGTTTATTTGCGCTGTCCATTCAGTAGCTGTAAATTTCAAACGAATGATTTGTTAACTTTTTGTTTTAAATGGCAACTGACGATTTTCAGTGCACAAAAGGTCAGAAGTATGAATAAAAATGGAGAATTCTAATAGTATTATCAAAAGGTGCTGAGGCGCACCGGGGAGACAGTTCTTCGCAAAGGGGCACAAACATCATTCGTCTTAATCCAAAAGTTTCAAATAATCTCCCGATCTATATTTGCCTCCAAAGCTAAATGGCACATGGTCATTACAACACGTTATTTCGAAGGAGGTCGTAAGCCTCACAATGGCTACAGTTTGGAAATTGTAATTTGAGAATTCTATCTTTATGACGAAAGCGCACAGGCGCACAGTAAAACACAATATGTGGGGCTTTAGAGTATTGAAACTCAAGGGCGCATTCGCCTGAGGGGAAAAGTACTTTTTGATTCAAAACGTGTGGACTGTATAAGTCAAAAAATTTTCAGTTTCAGTTTTGTCTTTTCAGCCGTGTGCTGGATGCGCCTTGAGAAAGGCGATGAAAATTTTATCTGTTTCACTGACGTATGCCTTGCCTCATTCGTGCTCTAATTGCATTGGATGTTGCGTCATATCTGACTCGGACCTTTCAGGGATGATGTAGCGTTGATGTTGCCTTGGATGAAGATGGGTTGTAGGAAAAGTTGCCCTTGTAATATGGAAGGTTGGTGTTTGTCTGGCAGGCTCGCTGTTTCACTAGGTGGCCAGGGTGTTCCGTACTCAGGTTTGCTGAGTGCCAGGGATGCCTGGATACGCGGGGGCTCATGCTCGCTTGGAAATGTGGCTTGCTGGTCGAAGATCTTATAAGCCCGTTAAACCAAAGTGTTTTGGGGTACAGATTCGTGGCAAAAGTGATGGAAAGACGCACTGTGCAGTTTTGTAGTCAGTATATGTTAGCATGCAGTTCATCTAAGACCACGCTGTCAAGCCTCCAATGCCTCTCTCACTTCAGAGCGCCCTTTTCACTGAAATGGATTTGCCACGGTATCAACGCAAACGTAGGCGAGAAGTAAGGGTCTGGTTGGCCCATGTATTTTTAGAATAAAACGTTCGTCCCGATAAGGTTCAATTTCAAAAGGCTTTGCAGACACCGTTGAAGTGATAGAGGCCTTGTCGGTTTTCAGCATGCATTTGAAATACATTATTATGAATGCTGTTTTGATCAGTCTCTCAACAGCCTATTTTTTGGATTTATAATCTGTTCTTGCCGCCTCAAACTGACAATTGCAATAAATTTTCTCTCACGATTTTGCCTCAAAGTTTCATCATCGTTCCGAGTTTACTTTGAAAATCTCCATCCACATGCCCTCCTCAGTTTTGCCACAGAAACGTCCCAGCCCTGGACCATCTGGTACAACCAACCTACATTGGATAGGTGGCATTGGAAGCTATACCGCACATGTTGCCATGGTTACGTGCCATTAGAATGTATCCTTGCATTCCCCAATCGGCCCCTAAAGAGGAGACAGAAGAGGTAAATAAGAGTTAACTCAACTGGGGGCTGACAAAGAAAATCTGGAATGGTGAGTATAGACACTAGTATGCGTCAGTCAGAGGTAAATTAAACAAGAGGTGAAACAGCTGTACTCTCAGTCCGGAATGTCTATCATAACAAAAAAAATAAATATTCACAGCCACAGGAAGAAATTCTGGAAAAAGTAAAACGATAATTGCGAGTGGAAGGCACGTTGGAGGAGACATAAGAAATGAATTTAACTCACAATCACATTCATATGCCAGTATGCTACCAGCAGCATCTAGAGTCTAGGATCTGATTTTTAAAAGGGTCCTTAAATGATATTCCAAGAGAACTACAAGGTGCAAGTGAAATGGACTCTTAGTTAACTATTTACCCCAAGAGTTCTTGCAGATCCAGTAATCCTGTCCGTTCTGGCTACCATAACCGACCAAGACCATGGCATGGTTGGGTTCTTTAGTCTTACAGTTCGGCTCGCTGTAAATACCGCTACGATACATGAAGAACGATGTATGATTTGCATCCAAGCCGACCAGTATTGGTTCAATGGCTACGGCTGCGGCTAGGGCTTTCTCATCCCCAGTTGCTACCTGCACCCCTCCATTCGGTACCTGTGGAGCAAGGTTATTCTCTGGTATTACAAAAAGCGCCCAAATGAAGTGAAACGTTTTCTTTAGAAGCGCGTTGAGTCGCTTCCTATATAGGCGCTCGCTCGTGCAAGCCAGATTGTGTTCGATTCGACACTCACGTGCAATATTGCGTGCTTACTCGGGCTTAGTCCATTAGGAACCGACCCGCAAAGCCGGTTACTTGGAGAAAAGGGCATATTCCTCCATACAATGTGAAAACATGTCAGCTTAGTCGAACTTGGCGGAGAAACGATGCAGAAAATGCTTGAATAGTGGCAAATCTGGTTCATCAACTAAGTAAGAAAGGCTAGAAAAGTGTATTTGGATGTCTGTTGCTTTTGACCATTTGGATTTACTTTTGCACGTTTGAAACCGAATCGATATGACCCTTCGACTTGGTCAGAAACTCGAGGTCGTTCGTTCACCACATATTGCGCATGCCTGTTTAAACAGTCACGACACCACGTGACAGGAAATCGCGAGGGAGGTAATCGAACCAGCTGTGATTTCACCTCAGTTCTCAAGCTACAACGAGCATTATAGTTTGTCGAATCTGGCATTCTAAAATACACACATGCGATTATTGTGATGATAAGTTTAAGTAAAGGTTGAGTTTGATTAGAAATACCTTTGCGAATGGACTGCATGTTCCGTTGTTACAAGTGAAATTCTTCGACTTGTGGTATGAATCCGCCATACACAGACCGCCAATAGAATGGATGCAGTCAAACACTTTGTCCAGCACTATCGGGGGAAGGCAGGCTCTGTGTGTTATTGCACAACAGTCGTTGATCTCTTGGGCGCTGAGAACCCGGGCTGGCTTAGCTTCGTGGATGGCCTCTCGACTTGCCACGGTATCTGTTAAAATCAAGGAGTTGTACTTTTTATTCAGTCTACAGTTTACTTGTTTCAGCTTCCGGCAACGATTGGGCACTGAACTGCTGCTTTTTAGAAATACCTGGGTAATTTTTGAAATATATCGCAAAGAGACAGCGAGTTTTGACCAACAGCGGTTGGTAGGATATCACGGTTGGAGTCTTGTGGTTCCTTGTCGGGCCTTCCATTCTGCTTGTGTGTTTGTGTCAACTCGGAATGTATACATAAATTTCTGTGCGAGTGGGTATATCCACATTGTATGTAGGGCTACCAGTAAGATATCTTCAGACATTGAAGTGAACTTGGATCCTAATGGTTCGGTAATAAGAACGGAGTATCAACATCTCATTATTTGGTTAACCTGATTGATCATTTAGCTGCTCATGCTGACTTTTCGAAAAGCCACAGTTCTTTGGTTGTTACAGATTTTAGTAAGGCATTTTATCTTATTCATCAAAACATTGTTATTCGTGAATTGCTTCACTTGGGCACACTCTCCTCAATCATTCCTTGGGTTAGCAGCTTTTTGACCGAGAGAGCGTAGTGTGTCAGATACAAAATCTTATTTTAACCCTAACTCTCCCAAATCCTCCAATTTCAATACGATTTTACATTCACCCTTGGGGGTTAGGGTTAATGTACTTAAATGTGGACTACCGCAAGGTACAAAATCTGGCCCGTTGGGTTTTCTTGCTAAATTTAATGGCGCTGTTCGTCTTGATAATTCAACTGACACTAATGGTCGATTACTTAGTCTAAAATATGATGACATGACTATCGTGGACAACAGTAGAGGGAATAACCCCCATACAATTCAATCTGTTTTGGACGAATTTAGTCAATTGGTGGTACAAAATAATATGAAAGTCAACCCAGATAAATGTGCTTGCATGACTGTATGCTTTATGAAAAATATTCCACAATTTCCCCCTTTACAGATTTTCTCTACCGGTCTCCACAAAGTCGATTGTGTAAAGATTCTCCGTGTTTTAATTAGTTCAGATCTTAGATGGGACAAACATATTGATCAGATTTATCGCAAAGCTAGCAATAAGATGTACATGCTTAAATTGCTAAGATAAATTCCACTTATCTCTTGATGACTTATTGACTGTGTATCAGGGATATATAAGACCACTGACGGAATATGCAACGCCCGTTGGAATGCTGGTTTAACTAGCGCACAAATTAGAGAGTATTCAAAAGCGTGCCCTTAAAATTATCTTGGGCCAGGGTTATCGAGATTACGAATATTCACTATTGAAGTGCAATTTGCATGGTCTCTCTCTATGATCGTAGAAGAGGCCTTTGCGTTGACTTTGCCTCTAAACTTAACTGTTCTGACTTGTTCCGACAGTGGTTGCCTCAGCCCAGAAGTTCTAGTGTGCGATATCAATTACGAAAATCAAACACACTTTCCGTCATCAAATGTAACACTAACAGATATAAAGGTAGTCCAACACCCTACTTTGTCAGTATTTTGAATCACATATAGCCTTTTCTTCCACATGTTTTAAATCATGCTTTTGTTTATTAGCATTTTACGATATGTTCTTGTTCTTATCTGTTATTTATTTTATAACAATTGTTTGCAGTTGTGTGTTCTTTTTAATATTGAACGATGTAGCAATTTAGCCTTTGGGCTACAAATGCATTGTGTTTTAAAAACCAAAAATAATAATAATAATCATAAAATCTTGATACATAACGCTTGTCTGCATAAAACCAGTCGACCTTCAAAAGGTGAATTTTCCAGTTTTGGGGAACCAAGAAAGTTTGGACTGAGGGTTAACGCTCAATCAACTTACCTGCAGCAGCATAAGCGACCGATCCGCCACACGCTCCCTGGTTTCGCACTGGAGTCACGTAGCCTTTGGTGCGCCAATCCACACTAGACGGTGGCTCGGCGATCCCGTTTAGGAGCGGCGTGATGGGAATTTGGATTGGATCCACCGGATATTTCATCTGGGAAATCATCTCAGCCTGCAAATGGAGGAGAATAATGAAGTGTGATTTCCCAAATCTACCGGTGTTGAAAGTGGGAAAATTGGAAATTTAGGGGTTTGAGGGCTTAATTTTTTCACACAAAAAGATGACGTTCGTCGTGTTGTACATTATGTGTAGATTCCATACTTTTGCAACCTTATTCCAATACTTTTTCACTGATTCTACTGAGACATTAAAGGGAATATTTCTTTTTCTTCTAATTACTGCAACAACCTCCACTATGGAATCTTTTAAGTTGCAGGTGGGTGGTGGCTCGCGGACTCCAATACATGTGGTGGGCCCCCTTTATTAATGAATAATTTGTCAATACTATAGGCAGTTTTGTTTTGAAGGTATCAATGTTTGAAGCTTCCCTTATCTTGACCGGGTAAATAATTCCATTTCACAAGGGTCCTAGGTATGAAGGAGAATTTGTAACAGTCTTTTTGTGCTGATTGATGGGAAAAGGAAACAAAAGATGTTTCCCTGTTGTAATGCCCTCGCTTTCAGATTTAAACCGGTAATGATCCGCGTTCACTGATGCTCGATGATGGATGGATTTATTCAATAAAGTGAGTCTATACCATACCGATGGCTCTACGCTCCTCTAAAGATTTCCATCCCAGGTTTTGAATCATAAAGGAAACACTGCTTTTTTATCGAAAATCTGTGCATATAAATCTTGCCGCCCTCCGCTGGACTGCTTCTTGTCTGTTTTTGTGATCTTGGTGGTACGGATCCCAGACACTAGCACAATGTTCCAGGTCTGACTAGGGTTTTGTAGGCGATCTCCTTCACCCTTGGAGAGCAGCTAAAGGTTTCTACGGAGTAAACTAAGCATCTTGTTTGCCTTTGAAGAGACATTGCTTATATGATAAGCCCAACTCAGTTTGTGATTTATTTCTACTTCCAGGCAAGTATGGCTACTTATCTTCTAAGGTGGTCTTCCATTCATTATGCACGTCGACAACATAGGTTTTTTCTTGTGAGTAATATGCATATAGTATAACATTTTTCAATGTTAAATTTCATCTGCCAACTTGACTTCCATTTGCTGAGCATGTTTATATCGTCTTTTAGAGCTTGAGCATCATTCCATATTTATTTGTGGTATTCTCACTGAAATAATGTCTCCATGTTTAATTCTCTTATTACCAGATGTTACACTTGAATAAACTATGCAATGGCAAGCCAGTTGGCAAAGGTCGGGGATGACACTACCGATTGGAAAGAGGGGCACAAATTGACCACGGACATAAATAACATTGCAGCTTCTGTTTTGGGCTTAACCTTTACAATGGCAAATCGAACATCAGAGCAAGCAGCCACTACTTTCAACAGGTGTTGACAAAACTTACATGAGTCTGATCTCCAAATTTGTTCATGGCGAGATCAAAGCTTCTCCCTGTCTTTGAGTTGTGTTCCCTGACAACGACTATGTTTTTCTCCCACACTTGCCTCTTGTCGACTTCTTCTGTCAGGCTGTCGTATTTCTTTTCGTGGGCCTCTTTCCATTCCTCCCAATGCAGGCCACATCCCGCCTTACCCACTTCATCAGAAGTCGCCCGAAGGAAGCCAAGGGAAAGACACACAACGAACAAGACGAATGCCGTCTGCAAAATGCGAGTAGAAGCAAACATGCTTGCAACAGAAACCACTTTGTCAACGCACAACAAACACCAGCGCACAACTTAGTTTTGCAGCAGTTGTGCAATGCGTAGGTTCGTAGGTATGCTTGCAGATTCGACGATAATCATGGCACTGAGTCAGTGGAATGTTGACCTCCAGAGTTCGAGCAGGGTTCAAAAAATCAGTGACATAGGGCTTTTATGGTGTTCCATGTGTGCCATCCGGTGTCGCATTTTTCAGGCGGCGTCGCATTTTTCGACGGGCGTCGCATTTTTCAACCGGCGTCGCATTTTTCAGTCGGCGTCGCATTTTCCAACCGGCGTCGCATTTTTCAACCGGCGTCGCATTTTTCAGCCGGCGTCGCATTTGTGGAAGAAAAGCATTAACTTTGACCTCCAGACAGCCCATTTGACGGAGCTATTGGACGGAGAGAACCCCCGCCTTTGTGTTGGTTATTTTTTAATCGGAATCCCAGAAATTCTGTACAGACTTCCAGGGGGGATGTGTTAGGTAACAATAGTCTGGAGTGTGTATAGGGATTGGACAGGTAAGGGGGTACCCCTCCGTCCCATACCTTGCCTGGTATAACACAGCCTGTAGCCTACATGCTGTAGCCTCCGACCTGAGTAGAAATGTATACGTTGCTACAACCNGCAACATGCTTTTAACAATGACGGCAATGACACTATCCTACAACGAGACCGATTGGTCCGTCATTACTTTGAAGCAGGGTACAGCTACGATGAGGTTCTTTCAATTTTGGTCATTCGTCATCGAATAACCATCAGGTATTGGCCAACTTTATTTGTATATGTTGACATGGTTGAACGGTTAGTATCGCTTTCCTCCGGCCCATGCGTGGAAATAACACTTGTGTATTGTTTTATAGAGATGGATATGTTTTTATTCCTTGTACTGTCAGCCTGAGAACGCTGCACCGAATTCTCCGCAAATTGAATCTTAGGAGAAGAAGTCCTGACGACTTGACCCTGAACAGGTTCCTAATAAGTTTGCGGGTAAGGATAACAGAACGTCTTGAAATACGGTAGCAGTGAGAAAAATGCGACGCCGGCTGAAAAATGCGACGCCGGCTGAAAAATGCGACGCCCGGTGAAAAATGCGACGCCGGCGGAAAAATGCGACACCGGTTGAAAAATGCGACACCGGTTGAAAAATGCGACGCCTGTTGAAAAATGCGACGCCCGGTGAAAAATGCGACGCCCGTCGAAAAATGCGACGCCGCCTGAAAAATGCGACGCCCGTCGAAAGATGCGACTGGCACATATGGAACACCATACTTTTGGCTCTTGCACTATATCTTTGACGGGTATAGCGTGGTAACTTCCCCACAACCAGTGGAAACCGGAATGAATGTAATTTGACTACTGTAAATATATACCGCGCTCAGTGTCCTTTACGGCCGCGTGTGCATTGCGCTCATTGTAAGCAAAATACAGCTTGTAGGCAAAATAAGGCATTCAGGGAAAACTCTTGCTGATTCTTTTCCCACCAATGTCAATATCTATCTTGCCAGGCATCTACAATGCTTCCTGATGGCTTTCTCGCCTGTGTCCAAGGTGGAATTAACGTTCTGTCTTTTCTAATTGCAATTTCCTTTTACAATCTTTTGATTGTCGTTCCTTGGTGCTCTTTTGTTAAATTGTGTAATTTGTATATTTTAAAGGTATTTCGAATCGAAGTTGAACTCTAGAGTCTTTCAAACTAGAATACACAGCCATTCTTGGGCCTTTGATTGTTTACGGAGTTTTCACTCTGAACTGGTGGGCAAGTATAGCCTTGGGCGAGTTCTAGAGACAATAGGCTACTGCTGAGTTGTCCCTGGTAACCTGTGCTTACAGTAAGGCCCGGGTACCAAGTAAAATCGACCAGTTGTTGAGAAATGTGTCCCTCCAGAACTTACCCCTTATTGCGGCCATTTTGCATATAGAGTCAGGCTGGTTCGGCGCATGTGCACCAGCGTTAACGTTACGGGTGTGTATTCACGCGGCCTGGATAAGACCTCTGCCTTATGAAATTCTGACTTCACTTTCCTATATGGAATCTTGAGTCGGGTGACGTTGAAATATCCAGTTGAGTTGTTAGACCGTTTCCATCCAAGCTACGAATTAGAAAAAGATGACTTACAAGAAATGGGATCAGACAAAATATTCACAGGTCATAAGAAACCGTACTTCAAAAAATTCTCCGAAAAGGAGATTCGAATCCCAACTCACTACCACATGGGTTCCATTCCGTTGGCCGGTATTCGTGTTCGATGAGTTTACGGAGGGAGTTGTTGACAAGACTACCTCAGTTGGCCAAGATTTACTACCTGTAGGCTGCCATGTTAATGTCCGCCTAGTGCACAGGAAAAGTAACAGCTTTGGCCAAATTTCTGCTAAAATGACCATATAATTTTTTAAGCTTGTTCCAATGTTTTGGTTCAGGGGGAAGCATTAAACGAACATAGACTACATCATTCAAAAGAGTGTGGAATCCGTTGAACTGAGGGGAATTTATTGACACGGCAGAATACGTAAGAATTAACCTTAATGTCCCATAATGTCGACCTGTGGAAAGGATGTGTATAACGCATATGCAAAATCTCGTTTCCACACTCTTTATCAAATTCACGAGATATGTCAGTCTGTTTTTACCAGGAACGGAATATCTAATCGGCACAGTCTCCAGCCTTACTACTAAAAATTCAGGAGCCACCAAAATTAATGCCAACATCACAGTGTTCAAAAAATCCTTAGGCCCTACTTAAGGAATTTTAAAGTTTCACAGTCTTTCTCTAAATTTCCAATTTGAGGAACACTTCAAAACTAGCAATATCTTCGAAATACGCAGCACTGGTGCTAATTAAAGATACGGTGTACCAGGATCTCTGCAACACGTTCATTCCAGCCCTAGCTGTTTTCACCGCATTTCACGTTGCCTTTGATGGATTCGTTAGAAGAACATGTTAACCCAAGTCCAGAATTGATTTCTCTCCTTCTTTCAATCATTACTATTTATTTGCATAAACAATGGTACAATTAAAACAGTCAACGACAATCCAAAGTTGCCTCGATTAATTTCAACTGAAATAGGGTGAATCCCAACTATACGTATTCATGTTAAACTAAACCTGGATCGTTGTTTACAGATTCAATTTTTGGTTCAGCTTACCAAAGAATATGGTATTAACCAGAGAGATTTTTCAGTGAGGAAAGCTTTAAATTTTTAGTCTAAATTCTTTACATAAAAAACTAATTAAAAACACGAATCCGGATACTATCTGAGAGGCTTTATAACTTCATGCACGATGTTTGAGGTTTAACATAAAACTAAAAAAGAACACGGTGATCCATGAATGAAATCTTAGTTTAACGCGTGCTATAATCTCTTAAAAACCTCGTCTTTGCATGTAAAAAGCGTTTCACGGAATAATTATTTGCACCTTCATACGTTATGTCCAATTCTTAAATTTAGTAAAAAAGTGTGACAGTGCGAGAAAGCACTGCTAATTATTTATAAAAATCCGAATATTTTTTTGAAAGCGGGAACTTTCTCATCCACTGAATAAAAAATTGCCACCTGTTCACTGCTATCAAGTTTATTTATTTACAGTAAAATGACATGATTTTAACAGATAAAAGGCGATCAGCCAGACCATTGGGAATTATTAGTTTCATTATGGGAAGATATCCCGACATATAGAACTGCTTTAAGGAGTCAGTGGGAAAGTTTGCTCATTGCATATTCAAATTTTACAAAGGGCAGGAAAAGTTTCCTCCTGACCTCATGCACCATGCGGTACAAACATATTCGATTGTTTGAACAAGAAATACATGTTGATAACTGAATAAGGAAAATTACCTATTGACGTGTATATGTAATACGACCTTTTGGAAAAATGTCGATATTCATGTACTTTTGGAAGTTTTGCTTTTTCTTAATTGCGCAAGAGGATGAACTTGTTCTTGGAGTCATCGTTGTCAAGGAAGCGACCCGTATTTTTGCGAGAGTTGACGAGGTTCGGGTTGGGATATGTTTCCTCCGGTATCCCTCGTAAAAGCTTGTCTACAAGCTCTACCCCTTGCATGAAAGAGTGGTCCTGATTTGCAACCTCGTACCGCCACCCCCCGAACCGGCCGCGGGAGTAGATGTGTTTGGCCTCCAGCCAGGGCTGAACCACCTCCAAGATCCCTTCTCTTCCAATGGAAGGAACAGGGTAGCCGTGATCCAGCCGTCGGTAGTATTTGGAGACCACCATGTCAGCAGAAATGAAACCGTACGTGATCAAAGCCTTGACTGTGGAATCGACTACATTTGCCTGGGTCCAATGGCTTCGGTCCGGCGTGTCTTTAGGTTCGGCCGCTTCGCACATCAAGGACCAATATTCGCCCGCCTTGGGCACGTGATCGTCTGAGTATGCCGAGAAGACGGTGATCCGGTAAAACGGAGAATCGGCGTCGGGGAAGTACATCCACGATTTATCCGACAACATCTTCGGCGGTTGGCCCACAAGGCCGATGCCTATGACGTGCGTGTGAGAGTAGATCAGCTGTGACGCCAACACATTCATTCTTGCCAGAGACGGGTCGTCACCTTGGAGTAAGTGCACAAACTCGTCTAACGGTGCAGTCGATATGAGCGTGTCGTAATGCAGCAGGCGATGTTCATTCCCCGCGCTCTCTACAGATACGGTCTTGGTGTCAAAGTTGACACTCGTCACCTGTCTCCGGAATTCGAACCACTCGCGGGGGACCAACCTTGCGACCCCTCTCCAGATGTTCCCGGTGCCGTTGAACCTCGGGAACCGGAAGAATCGGTTGGGACCCCACCCCGAGTCCTCCGCCGGCGTGCCCTGGTCGAAGGCTTTGATCTTGGCCTGGATCTTGTTGATGTCCGGCACAGCGACTCGCTCACCCACCCACACTGAGTTCATCTCGGTGGTGTTAACAGTCCATACCTTCTTGTTGTACTTCCGCATGAACACGTCACAGAGGCCGACTCCAAAGTGCTGCAGCAGCCACTCGTCGAAGTTGCGGGGCTTGCCCTGGGACGGGTTCCGCGTGATCTCTTTCAGACCGGCTAGGCTCTTGTTCTGATCGATTTTGTCCATGACCTCGATATTGTTCTGGACCGGGTACGGGATGAACCTCCGCTGGCCGTCCGACCCCATCATGAAAGCGAAAGCAGCCCGGACTCGCTGATTCCAGTGCGCAACGGCCCGATCCAGCGTCTTATCGAAGTAATCGTAGTGGGAAAAGACCACGTGTCCCCCCATATCCCAGAGGAAGCCCTTGTCATCTCGCTCGGAGGAGGCAAGCCCTCCGGGCTGGGCTGCTTCCTCCAAGATTGTGATTCTGAAGTTGAACTTGTCTCTCAGTTCGGCGAGACGTCGAGCCGCGCCCAGTGCCGTTGGACCCGAGCCGATGATGATAATACGTCTTTGTCTATGCTCGCTGGATTCCTGAGTAATGCCAATCGACATTGTGCCTTGGTGTTTGTAAAGCTTACCCCTCAAAGTTCTCGGAGTACCATCAAAGACGTCTGATATTGCCACAAGTTGAAGCCAGCCTGCAAAATAGTAACATTTTAAAAACAATGAGTATTAAAAACAACAGAGCAGCTTGGATCAGGGGAAAGGCAAAATCCTATAAAAGAAATTAGTCATGAAAGTATTCTTACACATTATTGCGCAAATTTTGTGCAAACCCTAAACATTTTTCTCTCATCAACAATTCTAAATGCGTAGGGGAAAAGCGGCTTGCTTTTCAAAACGCCTCATGGCAGTATTTTACGAAAGATTTAAGAAAAAGTTTAAAACAACAGACAACCACAGATATCGTTTTATCAAAAATAGAGCGGATGCATGACGTAGAAAAATGTTCCAAAATATTCCAATTTAACATTTTCTTTCGAAATCATGGTAAATATACCTTTTTTTCTAACAAATACAAGATTAGTTCAAGAAAAAAATACCTAACTTTCAAAGGTCATCTTAACTATTGTACTTGCTTCATATGACTGGGTTACTACATCATGTTACAAAAAACTGTTTGACATATTGAGAACTTGGTGTTTTCAACATGTAAGTTCTGGACAAATGCGTTAAAGTTGCAGAGAGTGACTGAACATTTTTGCCGATAAGTAGCATTGTGCAGGGCGCTTCACAAGAGATTAACGTGTACAATATTTCTAGAGCCTGACTTGACCAATAATTATTCAGCGCAGCAGGCGGTCACCGGTGTCAGTTCTAATTACCTAGGCAGGCAGATTAATCTGATGAGATGCCAAATGTACTTCAGTGGCATCCAACCTCGCCCTCATCCGATCCCCTTCCCAAAAATAATTTAGTGCCCCCAAAAAAATTAGTTCTGAATCCGCCTTTTGAGCGGCGATCCCCTATCAGTTACTGACGTCTTGGGCAAAGACTATATGCATGCATACATAGACTAAATTCAGTGATGGCGGCAATCGCTTGGCAAAGTCTACAGAAACTGTAGAAAACTACCAGACCACCTGTATCTTATCTTGTAGACCTAGATACATTGTACAGTGGCCAAAGTCGAGTCTTTAACATTCCTTCGTTAAGGATTTGTTTAGGAGGTGCTGCAGAGCCATGATTAAAAGTAAACACTTTAAAAAACATAAAATGAGACAAATATGATTTGAGATTATATTTCTGTTTACTGAATCTTTAAATAGCTTGTTATAAACCCTCTGATAAATAAGGAGCAGTTGTCTTTGTATCGCAAGTTACAGCGACACAAAATTACGTTCCCGTTTCAATGATGTGCTTTGAAGCGCATAGGAAAAGGTTCCTTTAATAATAAGCATGGCACTCATATAAACGAAGCAAAATCAGCCATCAAACAAATCTAGTATTGCTTAAAAGGACTCTTAACTTCTGTGCCGAATTCTCGGTTTAACAGTTAACGCAGCCGATACCTCTCAAAACAGTTACTCAGGTCACCGACAAAAACACCGAACGGTGTGTTCGATGACTTCATTTGCTACTTATAATCGTATCTTTGGAATCCTTCCCGGGTATTTCAGCTTGCGAGCTATACATTCCACGCATGAATACTTTCATTTGTGGTCACCGGCCAGATGGCGCGAGAATCGCAACAAGGGGTGGAGCAAGAAGAGAGCGGGTGCGTGGAGGTTTCCTCTGCTCGGGATTTTGGTCAACGGCGACCCTGGTGTCGACTTCAAGATTAAGTTTTGAGTCCGATTTCCTCACTGCATGTAATTTTATGCATGAAGCAGTCACCTGCGCGAGAATACAATACAATCTTGGTGATCGTGCAAGTGCTGGCAATTATTTTAACTAAGTTCCTCAACGGAATCGTAAACTCGAGTAAATTATACCCAACTACAGTGCACTGCTTTATTAACTGAAGAACATTATCTACTACTCCAATCGTGATTATATTGCCAAAGAAAGCCACAAAGTGTCCGACACCCCTGGGTTACCAAAGAGTTTGAAAGCACGAAGAGGAACCAGGTTTGCAATAAAATTTACCTTACTGTCTCGACGAAGGGTGAATTTCTCGTCTTATGCTAACGCCAGTACTGCAGAAACTGATACAAAACCAAACCAACCTATTCTAATAATAAGACCAGAGATGAAATTGAACTTTGTTCGTCATTTGCATGGCCGGCATTGTGTTCGGGCTTTGTCAGCGCTGGTATCCACCGCTCTGTACATAGAGTTCGTCGATGGTCCCTAATTTCTTCCAGTTCTCATTGGATAGATTTTGCCGAATCTGTAAATGAACTGTTAAACAAAATTATTCCAAATACCAACAGTTTATTTGACACTATCTTTGGGTGCGCTGCTGTCCTCCTGCCTGCGTAATAATTTTTGAAGACGCAACCAGGGTTAAGGAATTAATTTTCTATGGGTGCAGTGGTGAGGAAAAAAATCATGAGGTGACAGATGGAATGTTCCAAACCGCGAGGCGAAGCCCAATGCGGGGACACACTGATTTCATGGAGAGGCAAAACGTGATGGAACGTATAAACATCAAGGATGAAATGTCAAACAAAGAATGAAATTTCCGCAGAGATTCACATCTAAAAGGCGTGGCATTCTAAAACGCAGTCATTATCTGCACGAAGCTGCACCAAGCTGCATTAAGTCTTAAAACTTATGTCCCCAATTACGTGTCAAAGTGGGCAAATCACTTGATGTGTGCCATGAATGCGCTTAATGGATCGTATTCACGTGGCAGCCATTGTCGTCTTGTTCCCTGAATGTAACAAATAACTAAAAAAGAAAATAACAAATTGAAACTATTCACCAGCTAGTATTTGCCATGACATTTCACTTTGTATTGTTTTCATTTCCACTAAAAAATTATGAGATAACCTTGCTTTCAACTTCTATATGGCCAACCCAAGAATGTAATCAAGTTCTGCCCTGGTTGCTTAAGAAAATTACCCCTGATCATGTGTTTTCCAAAATCTTAATAGGATTTACCATTCATTAGCCTGGTGACAAACTATGGTGAGCATAGTAGATGTTTCTGTTGATAGTTTAATTGTACACTTAGTACAACAATATCTACCATAAGATATATAAGTTGCAGGTGCGTCTTGACTAGCGTCCATCAATGGTGAGGTTAATCGACACAAACCCCCGCAACGGAAAAAAGGGGACCTTTTCTCCACGCGGAGCCAATACATCCCTCAGGTCCCCTCTCTAACTACATTTCATTACGTTGCTGTGAAGTACATTTGTAGCCACGCCCCAAAAATAACTCCGAGCTGCGAGGTGGATGTTTTTACAACCAAGTCATTTCCAGGTCACATGGGCGTTTTGGGGATACTGGTCTTTCAAAAATTCTTACTCTGCAGTGGTTGGGGTCTGGCCAATGGGAGTTTGCAGGCTTGTGGTGTATGCCTGGGGTGAGGATTATATGAAATGGTTGCCAAATTGGTCCACTGGAATAAAGGTTATGAACATATTTGGTGATATGTGGAGACTTTTATCCCCACGGGATTGCCACCAGGGTTTTAAAATGTGATGGGCAGGTTGTTTTCACGCACCAGTTTATTTTCTTGATGTGCATGCTTTCGTTACAAATATTTGGCCTGGAACGTTCACACCCGGCCCGGTATTTATAGCGCCAGAACTTTCACATTTCAGATCAACGCTTTTTACGCTCAAGGTCGCTCAGCCTGCCAGGAACCCCGAGCAGGGCATGCCAAAGGGCAGCAATTCGGTCCCCTTGGCACCTCCTTTCAGGGTTGTGTGTTGTTTCTCCGTGGTTGCTTGGAAAAAATTCATAAGTATATAAGTATTCCTTTAACAAGGATTAGGCCTATAGAGACATTTTAAGAGTTCAAGAATGAAAGTCAGTTAATGGTTCAATAAATGAATCAAATGACCAGTAATACAATATTGCTCAAACTACAAGTGATTTTGTATATTCTTTTTGTTTGCTAAAAGCAATTGCTTGATAACTGTGTTTACATGATGAAAAGCACACATGTTAACATAATGTAACAACTTACCCTGCATGTTGTATCAATGTACCCCGTATACTGGGTAATTTGTTACGATCTTCTGGCTTCATTAATTAGTTAATTATTAATTACTGTTACATGATTGGAAGTTTTACTATCATTATTTTATAGCTAACAAAGTGGGATATCACCAGATGCAAGATATAGGACCGGGTGTATTTCATTGGGGTGATATGATCTAAAACGTCAATTTTGTAGCATCCTTCCCCAGTCTCCCCTATGTGGGTCAAAGTATTATTTGAAATTAACGTTACACTTATGCAGGGCGTATTGGTTGTTAACACTGCACAGCATGAATACAGAATCCACAATCTGGCATGTACTTAATTCCCTCTTTCAGAAATAATTATATGTACTCACCCTGGCCATACCGCTTCTGAAAGGCAACAGACATCATCGCCAACAGGAAAAGCACTAATGAAATTGCAGTACCCAATTTTCTGCGACTGAGCGCCATGTTTGCTTCCGTTCCTACAGGACTAATGCGATACGTGAGCGTACAGCTGCATCTAAAAGGTACCATTGTATAATGGTCGCTCATCTCACATGTACAGGATTCATTTCCTTAACAATATGAAAAGGGCAACAGCTGAGAGAGCATTAACAATGGTTTGGGCCTGCCGGTAGGCTGTGTGTACATCTAGCCCACGTATATTTTCAGAGTACTGCATCATTCAGTGAACCGGGCTTTGGCACAGGTAACGCGAGCCATGCACAGGTCCGGTCTCGAACGGCTACAGCTTCGAATATTATGTCGTTGGCGAGTTGCAGTGAGAAGTCGTAGTCACTGATACCAATGCTCAAGACAAATGAATACCGTAGTCGTACATGGAAACCCCGCCAGGCGTGTTGCCAACAAAGTAAACTACGACAACATGAACTGTTCGAAATATTCCTTTAATACACTGGTTTATACTTCATCCCAGAAAAAATTTTGACAAAGGACATCGCCTAAAACACGTGTACATGATCAAACCGGTGATTATTCGGTGACTTATGTGCAACATGGTCGCGTAAAGCCAGCATCTTCCATGGACATGTCATGTTCATCGACGTCATTCAAACCATGCATTTTATTCGAATATCAAGTAGATCCTCGATTCAGTTAAACAATTGCCGAGACAGAATAACACCACACGAGCACTAGATTAAAGCACCGTCTTTGCCTGCTAATGTCCACTGGGACGGTTTTCAGTAGGGGTTTGCTTACAAATTCACGATTTTCACATTCCGGTAAAAACACTTGAATGATCTCATGAGATTCAGCTTCTAAAGGGCTACCCCAAATTTGATTATGCAACAATTTGAATAAGATCTCAATACATTATTGTGCACATGTACTATAATAAAAAAAACTGGTGTTCAGTGGATAGTCCGGAACAATGAATAACACTGAGCTAAGAATGGTAACTTGGTGAAAGGTTGTGATGTCCTTTACGCCCGCCCAAAATAAAAATACAAAAACTTGAGACAGCCGCAAAGTAGACGATTCATTACGTTAAAAAGTATAGAATACTACCTTTAATTGTAAATCTGCATTTCTGAATTTCTTTTATTGCTTCTGAAAACAGACATGTCTCCTTTGAGACCCAGTCTGTCTTTAACAATCGGGCCTTCACATATTGAGATCTGCAGGTTGTTCCAATGATCCGCCTACCCGACTAGTTCCCAAATAAATGGGGTCACAGCCGTGGGCGTCGCGAGGGGGATGTAGACGATTCCCGCTCCCGAAATAATAAATAAAAATAATGAGGAAAAGGCGAGAGAAAGGGGAAAAGAAGGAAAAGGGGTGAAAATCATCAATCCAAGGCATTGACCCCCTTTTATACTGTGCCGTCTCCGGGTACTCATCCCCTCCAAATAAAAGTCCAGCCTCAGCAAAACAAAACCCAAAATTAGCTACGTCCACGGTGGCAGCGACAACTTGTATCCAAGATGAGTAAAAGCACCCCCTCATTTATGGAAAAGAGCCAAGTTGGTGGGGAGTACTCAATTTGTCCGTAGCGACGCAATCGTAACTCAGGCATTTCAAAATGAACCGGCAAAGTGCAGTTCCCACCCAAAGGAGCCTCCGTTGCTAGTAAAATTGTGCCCTCTATTGGTCCTGGTCGGGGTGGATAGAATGACAATGACATAAGGCCCTAAAATACGGCCTGAACTTCGTGATAAATCGTTACCTTTACGGCAAGCGAAGTACTAAGGTACCTTTCCATATTGGTATGCACGTCAACACTTGTGACAAACGTTGAGTATCCGTCAAAATCAGTACCGGGGTGATTTTGACAGCCGAACGCAACGTGCATGTGTAATATGTTAATGGCGTCGATTTTGGTGTCCGTGAATTTAAAGAAATGAATGAACACATCGCGTACGCAACGCACCCAAAACACACGCATGGAAAGGTACCTTAGGAATGTTCCCAACGGGGGCTATGGAAATCTGTGAAAGTTTCCGACTGTCCTTCCGCTTCCCATTTTTGTGATATCGTCACTAATCATTCACTGTGCCCATTTTCTAGACGCTGCTTACCGTTTAGCAACTTTTTTGCTTAGGGCCTACCATAACATAAACATTTTCTTAACAGTGCGCATACATGTACTTCACAGTGAATATTTCACAGTTGCTATGCTTTAGCACAAAAACCGCGAAAGTGCGCGCGGAGATTTCCATTATTATATCACCACGTTTAAGTAAGAAAATGTTTCTTTGGAGGTTAGCGTGCCTTTTACTGTGCTTAGCTTACGGTCTCAGTGAAATACGCAGACTTTCCTCTTTTAACGTAATTTTTTGTGCTTAGAAGCGCCAAATTGGGCCAAGTCTGTGGACTGATGTCTTGCTAACGTTCGTTTGATCCATTCTTGCGGGCTGTCAAATTTCCGACGCTGTATGTGCGAATTCACTGAAATATAGTCAGAGAAACAAATCCGTAATTCCGATTTGGTTTGAGCTTGCTGATTAACAGAGCACGGGAGTTTACAAGTTTCGATAAATCTGTTTTCATATGTGGCCAATGACGGAATGGATGGAATCCACGCGTAAAAAAACACAGCTTTTGAGTAAAAGAACCAAAACTCAATTCCAAACATCAGTGAAAAGATTTATACAATAACATCGAAACTGTAATTAGTGCAGAATGTAGTTTATGTGACATGAAACAATAATAAAGATCATTCATTTTTTCTGATAACTTATTAATGAAACTTTGGGGCTCATAGTGCAATGAAAAACAGGTCGTTACATTGATATGCACCATTCCCATACTACAACTTCCCCCAAGTGTGTTAAATGACACTAAAGAATGGATAGGTGAAATGGTTTGATGTGTAATTGATCAAATTCAGAGCTGGACACACACATATCAAGGTGAATAGTACAGTCATTATCGGCTTATTGAACAGACAGAGTAAATGGGAAGTAAAGCAAATTTAATATCGTTCGGGTTGGGTACCTAATGGAAAAAGTCAAAAACAAAATTTCATGGATAAGACTAACAGCTGCGCAAAAATTATTTCAAACGTGGAACATATAGCCTACATCAGGACAACAACCGACGAGAAGACCGCTCAACGCTAACCCTAATCTGCGTTTCACAATACCAAAGCAAAATGCGCTTCTCTTTAAAAAATTCTTGTTTTACAGAGGAAATGTTGCTTGTCGAACAAGACTGGCGTCTTTCCTCAAGAAATCTTGATTTGAAGGGTTTTCATGGCACCTTTAAAACCAAAATACAATTCGTATTTTCTTTCCTAGTACGACAGCACGGCGGCTACTGTAGAGGAACCTCTATTTCACAATAAAGAAATCATCTGAAAACATAACCCAATGCATTCAAGAGTACATGAAACAAAAATCTCGTTAGATATAACATACTCGAAAATCAACTACACAGTATATCACATAAACACCTCCACAATAAAGATGCAATCGACGATACATAATGAAAGCAAGGAAAGGTTTATATGAAAGGAAAGCATATCCAAAAAGGGCAATACTGATGACCACAATTCTGATTGTGTTGCCCTGAAATGACTGTTTGGATATTTATACTGTAATTTATTAAGAACGATGTTACCAGTGTTTTCCCAGGAGCTTGTTGGAGAAATCACAAGACTGCTCAGTCGGGACTCATACTTACACGACTTCTTGCTTACTAGTGCAGACGCTTTAACCATTCAACCAGTAAGCAAATTCCGGCTGATTGATTCAACCCCCCTCCCCTAAGCTAGCAATTTACCCACAAACTCCCAGAAAAAAAAAGAAAATAACCAGTGCTGAATGAACTTCGCTGGTGAAGTGCAAACCTATCATCTCATTTTATATATTCCCGGCACAACTTTCAAACCGACATTAATGTTGATCTTGAAATTATTTTACACTTCAAATTAGGGGAGGAGAACACCAAACCGTGCCTTCTATCTACCAAGTTCTCAAGCTGTGGTCACATTATTCACATACTGAGTTTAGTTCTCTTAAGCTGAAGCTCAGAGCAAAATGTGCCAGTCTATCAAACACAGCTATTCAAGAACTACGAGCTGGACATATTCCGGTGCGTCTAGTTCCCGCCTGCTGGCTTGTAGTATTTGTCATACACGAGTTTGGAAGCCGCAGCATCCTCTATGGCCAACCCTGAGAAAAAAAGTGCAAGAGAGCTGTTTGAAAGAGGATTTTAAGTTTTTGATGTCCCTTTTAAATGATCAATACACATTTATCTGCGTTAGATACAATGTTGTCAGAGGTGGGACTTTTTACGAAGCGAACTTGTAACGCTTTGCAATTGTTGGTGTCACAGACTGATGAGAGGCATTCATCTGTCTCTTTTTGTTCTCCTACTTGAAAAGTGCAATCCTAGCTTTCAACCATTCCATCGAGATCGGCAAGGTCAAACAACTGAATTCGGATATAAAACTGTAGAACTTTGTACCCAAAGACTTGAACACTGTCGTTTCATTCTTCCTAGCTGGGAGTTTCCCCAGAGCGACTTCACCAATTTCTCCAAAAATGTTTGCCTGTTGGAAAAACAGAATAGGCATATCTATTAAAATAGGGTTCAAACATAAGAGCCAGTATGGAGTACATAATATCCTCCCTCAGTTTTGAGTATGGAGAATAGGGTTTGTTTGTGCATGGCCACTAATAAAACTGCAATATAATTGCCGGTGTCTCTTAAATTGGAAATACCGTTTAGAGTCCTCCAGACGTCAACATGGCTAAAACGAAAATATTCTCCCAGACACCACAGGTGGCATCTTGATTTTTAATATTTGTTTCTCAGTTGCTACCTGTTGACCACAAAAAATCCTAAACATATAGACAAATTCGGTGAGAGGAATTAGAAGCCATGACAGCGGGGCCATCCTATTGGCATGCAGGTGGTACGCGAGCGTTACATTTCTCTCTGACCAACTGGGTATCGTGACTTTCCAAAGTGCGCACGCGCGCTCAAATTAAGAAGGTGTGTGAGTGCGATGGCCCCGCAGGAATGGCGTCTCCTCGGATTTGTCTATATGAGAATTTTCGGTATACATTCTGTGGTATATAGATGTAATCTGCTCCGCCAGATGTAATGTTTCCATTATCTACTGCAGCAATTTCCCAAGTTCAACAAAATCTCCAGTTTTTAGAATGAACTTGTTCATGTTGCGCGGCCGTGCTTGTTATGAATCTATTACTGTTCAGTTGGTCCACATTGATACGGCCAGAAGTCTCTTGTCGTTGTAGTCACGACTGTGACCATGACTATTGACTGACTTACCTCAGATTTGACAATGTCCCCAGATTCAGTAGATGCACTTTGGACGCTGTCAACGTAGATGACAGCACGGCGAATCAAAACGGGATCAAGTTCTTGTTGAACAGGTGTGATAGCGCCAACGCCTACGAGGCCGAGAATGGAAGTTTCGATGATTCTTAGACATAAAAATGGTCTTAGTGTGTTTTCCATGTTCAGGGCCCATGCCAAGGAGATTTGTCATCTTCAGCCTGCGGCACGGGTCTTGGGCAGGTATACAATCTTTTTTGCCGTTTAAGAAAAAATCATCAGTATTACTGTAGTTGGCATCATTTCATTTCTGATAAATTTAATTTTTGAAGCACAGCACAATATCAGGTTTGTTCACTTCAAGGTCCCAATATCAAGGTGTAAGACAACAGCCAGACAAAGCATGGGTGAAGATCAGTGAACACTTAAACTTAATTAAATGTTTGAAGCTGAATGAGAAAAAAGTGACCAATATAGAGTGACACATGTGTCAAGTGTGGGGCGGACCAGTTCATACATTCAACCCTTGGTATCTCAATACCCCTCCCCTGGTTATTCCTATCCTCACACAGAGAGGGTCAGTTCGAGATGAAAAGATATACAAATGTAACTAGGCATACACCGAAATACTTTGACCTGTTTTAGATTGCAAAGTTGATTAAAATTAGGGTTAACTGGTCTAAGAATTTGAAATCAAAAGCTGTTTATGGAAGCTTGTAGTGAACATCGTATTGACACATTCCTGACACAGACGATCAAGTGCTTCTTATTATGGGGATGCTGAAACACTTACAATTGACATGAGCTCCGTCTTTGACCCAATCGCTCATTAGAACAGGCGTGTGACTGCGCGTGACAGTTACGATGACGTCCGCATTGTTAACCGCCTCTTCTGCCGTCTCGAAGGCCGCACAACCGAACTTCTCGGCGAACGTGACGGCTTTTGAAAAGGTTCGAGTCCAAACACGAATCTGACAAACCATAGGGGTAAAACTTAGATATGATGAGCATTGTAATAACAACCTTCTAACAGTCATCGTTTCAGCTATGCCTTAGACTAACTTTATTAACGCAAAAGTAGGCCAACAACCTTGATTTGGCGCTCTGGCTGCATAAAGGCCTTTTTAAAAAGACATTCGTTATACACTGCAAAAACCCCGCTGTTATCAGAGGAAACAAGGCCTTCCTTCACGACAATAAAAACCAGAATATAAAACAAAAGCATGCAGACGAAAGTCCCAAATGATATAATAAAATGTTCGCAACGCCCTAGAATTGCCAACAAATCCATGTTTTAGATTGTTCAGTACTCACATATTTCAATGATCTGGCTGAAACCAAACCAACCTGACGTTTAATATATAAGGAGCAATGATGATAAACCAAGTGTGTTCACATCTGACGCGGCAGCCATTTTAAATCTTGCGAATGCGTTTTTTTCCGGCAGTAAATATAAGCCGTCAAATAATTACGCCCCACTGACTACAAACATTGGACAGGCGCCATAGACACTTCATTTTGACGTCTTCCCCTTGCAATCGTCCTTATTTTTTAGCCAGCAATTTCTTCTTTACAGATAAGTATTGGCGCAGTCTAAGGCCTCTTTTATGCAACCGTGTCTTACACTAGCTTGTAGCACTTTGGAGTTTCTTCAGATCATATCACGTACACGTAAGTGCACAAGCTGTATGCGAAGTAGTCTCGGGTCCGAGCCCAGTTAACCAGCTAAGCGTACCGGCCCCACCAGCCGCGGGCACTGTGGTTTGCAAGTTCCTATTTTCTAACTTCAACACATAACAGAAAACATTTAAAAGTCAATAAATAAAACAATGCCAATTTTTTTTAGCCCATTCGATCAACAAAGACCTCAAAGCAACGAACACATAGACGTTTGTTTGTGTCGAAGGAAATGGGCACAAGATTAGCGACAAGCGTTCCTACTGCGCAATTTTCAGAAGGCAAAATTTGTCTCTCGAATTCCTTCCCTTGAAAATCATGCAAATGCGAACAATCATTTTTATTATTACAAATGGTATCATTAATTTTCACAGGGAGTGTGTTTTATAGCCCGACAGGATGCATCCAGGATGGTATGTGGCTTCAATACGACTGAATTAAGGTTCATTTACTTACTTCCGAAAATTGGATGACCTGTGCAAGCGCTTCCAAGTGAGCTCCAGCGACCAAACCTGCTCCCAAAATGGTCAATATTCGGCTGCCTGTCGGCGCTAGGTACTGTACACAATCAACCAAAAATCACCGGGAAAAAATAAGGACTCTAAACAGAAGTTTTATCCGAATGTTTTAGAATTTGGCACAGTGGCCAATCCTGTTATTTCAATCGACAGAGAGCAATTAATTTTTTTAAAAAGCTGGAACCATAACATGCTTGACATAGTTACCTTTGTAGCTACCGCAGAGGAAGCTGCAGTCCGCATACTTGTAAGCGTCTCAGAATCTACGATCTGAAATGTGTAATTTCGAATATACTTATTTTCAATACCTGGTTAACATCAAAAGGCATGCAAGGCTCCCCTTCACACGCACCCAATATATTCTCGGGGGGGGGGTATCCTCACTTCCAGTTTGATATTAGTCTTGGCCTTGGACGTCATATTAAAAAAAACTTGACTTGCGATGCCTTATTACCAATCGGAGCCATGATTCACTGACAGCCATTTTACGGTGTCGAATACAAAGGCGATGGTTGGCTCGCTTGCCATAGTAACTCTTGATGCCACGACCGAATTTGATAAACAATTTGATAAGCAAGCCTTGGGATTACGTTTGTATTCGGAACTCAGTTTGTAAGATGGCCGATGGTGACTTCAATTACCACTGTTTACTGATTAATGTCATTATAGGTCCAGATTAATTCTAATGAGGTCTGTGTTCTTGGTTGCAATAACATTTTTCTCTAATATATTCATAAAATTATGCACGCAAGGGCACAAAATGGCCTTGGTGGTAAGAAGTGTGAGCGGGCCATTGAAAACGTGAAGGGGTGCGATTTTGATCATGTTCTCTCAGGTTTTCCGGCTTTGTTCAGTGTTTCTTCAGAAAATCCAATTAAATCGTTTTTGCTATGAAACAGCACGAAAGGAGACCGGCTTAGATAGGGCAATTTCGTGCGCATGCATAGGAGAAATCACGATTGCAGAGTCTTTTTACAGAGCACTAAATCTCACGCTTAGATTAGAAACTAATAGCATTCACCTCAATTTTTACGATTTGATTAACTGAATAATGTACTTAACGGTGTATCTTTGGAGGCTATTGCAATCGTATTTGCAACGATATTTTCCATTTTCCAACAAGCGCGGGGAAAATAAAAATGGTTTATTTTCATTTTTATTCACGTCTTTTAAGCTTGTTTTCCCATATCGACGTAAGAAAAACAGAGAGCAATGCAATAAAGACGCAAATTGCAACGCGGACATATGGAAACATACCAAACGGAGGTGTCGCCGACAACGCAGACAAACGCAAACCAGCCCGCGAACGATCGGCAAAGTTGAGCCTGGCTCGACTGTCTACGTCGAGTAGCCCTAGTATCCCCAATACGAACACGCACGCTGGCATGGCCTGCGTGCAACGAGTTCCATGAATTGCGCCCATTTTCTCCCCATTTTGCCCATTCTCTGTTAATATTACAACCTTATGATCAACTACATAGCTGACCATCAATGAAATGCATGAAACTGAAATGCATGAAAGTTGAGTAGAGGTTTGGCATCATGAGGCGGTACAGTCAATCGAAACGGGTATGTTCCGGAAAAAAGGAATCAGGGATATTCGGACGCCATTTTGTTTCAATTTTTGGGTGGAATGACGTCATGCACCGTCTCCTCTGTTCGCGCTGCGTCTTCACGTCTTGATTGGCCGTCTGTGTCATTAAGGTGCCCATCCATATGTACGTTTTTAGGGTGCGTTGCGTACTGTACACGATGCGCTCTATCCCGTTAACATACGTGTGCGTTGCGTTGGGCCGTCAAAATCGCTCCGGGAGTGATTTTGACGGACACCCTGACGCCTGGCGCGTTGACGCGCATATAGAAAGGCGTCTTTACAAACGACCATATGGAAACCAGGCTACAGTAGTTCATGATATTGAATCAGACAAATACAGGAGATTCACAATAGTGCGCCCCCAAGAGTTTGCAACGCGTTGACCAATCACAGAGCGCAAAATTTGTCGACCCTTTCCAAACCTGCAATGGGTCGACAGATTTCGCACACAATGATTGGTCAACGCGTGGCAAGCTCTTGGAGGCGCACTATTGTGAAACGGTCGTAGAGATACAAACCACATTTATTGTTTTTTGATTTGGGAAAAATGTGAAGACACGGGATGCATCACAGATCAAAACCATCTTCAGTCGTTTCCTATATGTTAGTTAAGAAAATTCAGCTCAGTCAGTATGTACGCACACCAAACATAAAGTAGTCCTTTTGGGGGGAGAGCCAGCAGAGGTGGATCTAGAGGGGGTTTGGGGTTGCAACACGCCCCCCATCCCCGTTCAACAGCGGGCTAAGTGGAACTACCAGTGATATGACAGAAAATGAGTGCCAAAAAAATCCTGAACGAGGATTGCACCTTCCATCTATCCATCCATACTTAAGTTTCCTTTCCATCGGGGAATGGTGCATGATGCTTTTTGACCGCCTTAGCAGGACATTCTTTCAGTACGCCCATCATCCCCCCCCCCCCGTTTCCTGAAAGCTAGTTCCTCCCCGGTGCACCATTTAATTTTTAGAATCCAACAGAAAATAATCAAGTGAGACTGAACCGACATTTCCTTCAGNTCTGTTCATGATGCTTGTAAGCCGCTGAGAGGTATGAAACCTTCCGTGGACGGAATTTTGCTTTTAAATTACAACCTGTCCAAGGCAAACTGGCTTAATGACCAATTTATGCCAAAGTTAGTCAAAATTTCCATCATGCATTCATAATTGTATGGGTACATGGCTAAGACCAACCACGGATCTGTCGTTTTGCATTGTAACTCGTGAGATATCAAAATGAGCGGAAGGAAAGACTGCTTCATTCCAACATTTTCTGTTGGATTCTAAGAATTAAAACAGGATCTTTTGTGTTGATCAAGTTATACACCGTAGGTTCCATTTTGCACCATAACACAAATCGACGCCTCAATACCGTGTTGAAAATGAGCGTTGTTCCCTTGAATGAAACAAGGCTAAAAAAAAACCTTGGCTTGGAAATTAAACGACCTTTCAAAATTAGTCTATTCGAACAGGGAAACACTGAGGATGAGCAGTAACAGCACTATGAGCAGAAGAAACTTCCAGGCAATATGTCATTCGGGGACCTGTTTTAAAGTGCTATAGTAGACCTATACCTGTTTGGTATTTAACTGTAAGGTCTTATTATTAATTTTAACAGTGGTGGGTATTTGGGTGTGGTGCACTCTGGTGCACGCAGTGAGTGTAGCAAGCAGTGTCAGTGACCAATGGGTCGACAAATTTCGCACACACTGATTGGTCAACGCGTGGCAAACTCTTGGAGGCGCACTATTGTGAAACGCTCGTAGAGATGCAAACCACATTTATTGTTTTTTGATTGGCGTAAAATGTGAAGACACGGGATGCATTACAGATCAAAACCATCTTCAGTCGTTTCCTATATGTTAGTTAAGAAAATTCAGCTCAGTCAGTATGTACGCATCCCAAACATAAAGTAGTCCTTTTGGGGGGAGAGCCAGCAGAGGTGGATCTAGATGGGGTTGGGGGTTGCAACACGCCCCCCCCCCCCGTTCAACAGCGGGCTAAGTGGAACTACCAGTGATATGACAGAAAATGAGTACCAAAAAAATCCTGAACGAGGATTGCACCTTCCATCTATCCATCCATACTAAAGTTTCCTTTCCATCGGGGAACGGTGCATGATGCTTTTTGACCACTTTAGCCCATTATCATGACCCCCCCCCGTTTCCTGAAAGCTAGATCCTCCCCGGTGCACCATTTAATTTTTAGAATCCAACAGAAAATAATCAAGTGAGACTGAACCGACATTTTCTTCAA